GTATTTCAGCATAAATCATAACAAAACAAGTAAAAAAAAAAAAAAATGCTGTCAATTAATTGTTTTCAAAACGCAAACACATCTTCCAGTACAGGATGAGGCCATTTAAGTCGTAATATTCCGGTATTTTCTTCCACTCCTTTTCGATTATTTTAATTAGGTCTTTTTTCTGGGTTAGTCCCCTATTTTCCACCTTCTTCTTTAATAAAGCACACCAATTTTCTATGGGGTTCGGATCCGGAATCTGGACAGAAGTATCAATAACTTTTGAGCAATTATACAGCAGCCAGGTCCTGCAAAGCAATGATTTATGCTTGCGATCAAAATCTTTATATAGCTTGTACTGCGTTGATTTGGATTTGGAGGGCTAAGAACTGTTAACTCGTTTTTTAAAAAGCCCAAATAAAATGTATAATTATATCATTAAAAATTTGTATTTCTCCAACGCCTGTGGATGAAATACAACCCCATAGCATTACAGAAAGCTTGCCAAACTTTACTGTTGGTACTATATTGTACTGCGGCAGGCTCTGTTTGGCTTTCTTCAAACTTTGCTGTGATAGTAAAACATTATTTTAGTTTCGTCACAAAAAATTATGTTGTTCCAGTTTCAGCCAATTCTTTTTGCGATTTTCCCTTGTAATAGTTGTAATAAACCAATTGTATTACTTTTTTATCAGTTTGTTTCTTTATCAGTTCAGTTCAATTTTATTGGGAAATCTTCAACATAAAGTTTAGTTTCTACGCAATTTTAAATTTTGCAACCAAATACTAGAAAACCTGTAACTCGGAACGGGCCGAATCAGCATACTACTCCCATAGGAATTATCGGGAAAAAGGCATCAAAGATTCCGGTTCACATGTAATGATTTTATTTTTTATATAATCCTTAAATAATAGTAGGATTTGTTTGAGTTTTTAATTATTTTAATGTAATTTACATTGAAAGTTACCTGATGTTATGCCAATTTTATTTTTAAAGTAATAATGCACATTTGCTAAATAAATTAAAAATATGTGCATTTAGCATGTTAAATTAATAATAAATTATTAATTAATGTTAATTTCCATAAGGTTGGATAATGTGCCAGCCTCAGAACACAGTTGAACAGCAATACTATGAAGGGGAAAAAGCTTGTCTTATTGTCAAGAAGATCCTCGCCTGGAAATTTTGGCTTTTAGATTTATAATTGGAGTTTGGACCTCTTCTAGTGTTACTATGTTCGTGGTAAAAGCCATTTGAAAAGGCCAGCATAGGTGCATTTGAAAATTTGTAAAACTATAAAGTAAACTATTTTGTAAACTTATAAAGATCAACATTTTTTCAGCCTTAGCAGGTAGCTCTCCGGTGTATTTAATTTTTGACTGCGTACATAAACTGAGATCCTTAAAAGTGTATAACCTTTATTTACCCATGCTTTAATTATATACTCAAATATTTTACTTTTTAGGGCCAGGAGATATCTTGCCGCTGTTCCCTGGGATTTTTATACCCTTGCAGAGGGTATTATAATTTCAGTCAAAAGTTTGCAACGCAGTGAAGGAGACATTTCCGACCCTATAAAGTATATATATTCTTGATCAGCATCACCAGGAGAGTCGATCAAGTCATGTCCGTCTGTCCGTCCGTCTGTCCGTCCGTTTCTACGCAAACTAGTCCCTCAGTTTTAAAGCTATCTGCTTGAAACTTTCCCAAAAGTTGTCTTTCTATTGCAGGTAGTATATAAGTCGGAACGAGCCAGATCGGGCTACTATATCATATAGCTGCCATATAACTGAACGATCGGAAATGCCATAACTTTAGTGTTTGTTAAGTTAGGAAGTTGGGATTATCTATGGGTTTTATTTTTGGCCAATCAATCCGACCTACCAAACTTCATAAGGATCGGACGACTGTATCCTATAGCTGCCATATAACTGAACGATTGGAAATGAAATAACTTTGGTGTTTTTAAAGTTAGGAAGTTGGGATTTTTTATGAGTATTAAGAATGCATCATATAAATAATTTTGGAGAATATAATTTACAGAATATTCTGCAAGGGTATATCAACTTCGGCTCCGCCCGAAGTTAGCTTTCCTTTCTTGTTTTTCTAAAATTCTGTAAGGGTAAACAACAGATAATTAAAGTAAAGTGAAAGATTTTCTTAATTTTTACACAACGAACAGCTATTTATTTTAGCTCTTTTTCAGCAATTTTCATATTTTTTCGTCATACCTTTCTTGGAATAAAGATAAAATTATTTATTGATTGTGTAAACATCCGTGGTTTTTTGCAAAAAAAAAGCTCATTAAACTCGATAATTTCAAACAGATGGAACGAGATCAAAGCGAAATATTTTTGACAGACCGAATTGACGAATGACTGGCAGCTCAAAATTGATTTTTCCTAGAAAAATTTCGTTCTAAATGTTCTTTTATTTTTTTAATACAAAACAAGAGAGAACGCTATAGTCGAGTGCCTCGACTATTAGATACCCGTTACTCAGCTAAACAACTTAATATTATAATTGCCGGGCAATTGCAACTGTGTACAATGTAAATACATATGCTTACATACATACACACATACGCCATTGTTTGACTCAGACCTCAGACACACGGCGTGTCACAATTTTGAAACAAACTTGCCCTGCGTAGAAACTCCTAAAATCTACATGCAAAATGCCAATCTTCTAGCTTTTATAGTTTCCGAGATCTCAGCGTTCATACGGACAGACAGACGGACAGACGGACATGGCTAGATCAACTCGGCTAGTGATCCTGAACAAGAAAATATATACTTTATAGGGTCGGAAACGCTTCCTTCTACCTGTTACATACTTTTGCACGAATACAATATACCCTTTTACTCTACGAGTAACGGGTATAAAAATAATCGTTTCTAGTGCCACGACTATTTCCTGTTCCACAGAATAAAAAAATGATCCAACCTTTTATACTAATATGCAGTGACATTGGTTGCACTACGGTGTCTAAGCTGATTCATAAAAAAAACAATAATGCTAGCTTTTGGTCGAAAGTGGGAATCGAAAGTCATTTCCTAATTTTGTCATAGATTGCAGGTAGAAAGCAGGTGATAAGATAGGTTGAGGCATATCAACTACAAGTAGATAACAGTCAGAAATTGGTGACTTTCCGGAGAAAAATAACACAAAAATTCGAAGCAGCACACGGAGAGAGAGCGAAAGGCAAACAGCGGACACTTTTCGTCGGGCCCTTTTTTTTACCCCGGTACTCAGATCGACAAAAAATACCAGAAAATTGCATCCTTTAAAAGCTCTTTTCTGCAAATAAGTTTTTTTAATTTTAAGTTTTTGTCGACAAACCCATCTGATTGATAGTAAGACCGTAGGAAATTCAATTCTGATTATAGTAATCTTATAAAACCAATCCCAAAATAAAATATGTTATAACTTTGTTTTTATTGGTGTTATTATGTTAATTGCAATTGAATTCTTTTGTATACTCTTTTTATATGTGTTCGCAGATCAAGTTTAAAAACAAGAAAGGTAAGCTAATTTTGGGCGGAGCCGAAGTTGATATACCCTTGCAAAATACTCTGTAAATTTTATTCTCCAAAATTATTCATATGATGCATTCTTAATATTCATAAAAAATCCCAACTTCCTAACTTTAAAAACACCAAAATTATGTCATTTCCAATCGTTCAGTTATATGGCAGCTATAGGATATAGTCGGTCGATCCTAATGAAACTTGGTAGGTCGGATTGATTGGCCAAATATAAAACCCATAGAAAATCCCAACTTTCTAACTTTACAAACACCAAAGTTATGGCATTTCCGATCAATCAGTTATATGGCAGCTATAGGATATAGTCGGCCGATCCCGGCCGTTTTGACTTATATACTGCGTGCAGGAAAGAAAAGTGTTTGCAAAGTTTCAATTCGATATCTTTAAAACTGAGACACTAATTCGCGTGGAAACAGACAGATGGACAGACAGACGGACATGCTTATATCAGCTCAGGAGGTTATCCTGATCAAGAATATTTATATATTTTATAGGGTGGGAGATGTCTCCTTTACTGCGTTGCACACTTTTGACCAAAATTATAATACCCTCTGCAAGGGTATAACAACGAACAGATGTTTTTAACAGCAATCACATGCAGTGATGCTTGGGCTCTTTTGATCTTGACCCAAAAAAGCATTTTCATGTGAAGAATTTTCGTTGCCTAGTAGTTTATTTTACAAATGTTTTTTTTTCCTAAATTGTTTTAAAAAAGATAACATCTTTTAATGTTTCTGCAAGTCTTTTAAGTTTTATCTCATTAAAACAAGGAACTCGAAACAAACCGTTTTAGAAACAAGAATAACAAATGTGTCTTTCGTTACTCGATGGGGGTACAAAAATGCTGGCAGATGCAGCCACTGCTATGAATACCCCAATGGTAATTCTGGATCATAAAGTAATAAGAAATAGCGTGTTGAGTGGTGGTGTTATATACAGCCTTGGCATTAAGTACACGTGTAATATTGGCGTCTTTTCGTTTGTTAAGTCTTAGCAGGAGTTAATCAGTCAATCAGTTATATGGCAGCTATAGGATATATTCGGCCGATCCTTATGAAATTTGGTAGATCGGATGGATTGGCCAAATATAAAACCCATATAACATCCAAAATTATAATACCCTCTGCAGGGGTATAAATATTATATGTACTATATTTTCTTCTTCGACTAAACGGTATAAATATCTCAGAGCTTTTATATGTGTCGGAAAATTTATGCTAGGAACACATTTTAAAATCGCCAACCGAGAAGAACAGTGCGTTCTCAGAATATACATAAATATTTAATATATCCTAATAAGATTTTTAAAAATGCTATAAATAGAGTGTTCTTACTTCGATCTTTATTGTTCATCTATAAAATGGTTCTTATAATTTCTTATATTTCTATACAAAATATTAGTGCATCGAAATTCAAAAAATTTGTTTCTTTTTTTCTATCTTTTATTTTACCTGGTACCAATGAAGTTTTCAAAGTGTGGAAGGCGATCTATTACAATCTACAAGGAATGTGGCTAGCGAAATATTTTTTTAGCGCGCTTATATGCGTTGCGATTTCGACAGGTAGGTGTAATCAGAAATAAAAAAACTTGTTTGTAAATAAATATATAATATAAATATTTTAAGCAAATAATATAAGAAATACAAATTTAAAAAAAAAATTCTAGCAAATAATAAACATATATGTATATATGACCTTTAAAGAATTAAGTCAAGCTAAACGAACTAAAAACTTTGTACAGCATACCCTTTCATCAATTTCTGCGTACTCTTTTTCCTGATCTTCTTTTTTAATGTACCAATTTTACCTATTTATTTTTACAGTGACTTCAAAAACTTTGAAGGATATTCCCGAAGTTTCCCTAATGGACGATGATTTGGCAGCCATGCTCGACCGAACTTGCGATTGGCTCGCACCTCCAAGGATTAATAATGGTAAGGCCACCGTCGCTCTTCGTCGGAATAGAGAAAGACTCTTCCTGGTGGCCAACTATGTCTGCAATGACAACTACGAAACCTTGACTTCCGCTGATAGTACCATGTTCTGTTCAAACTATAAATGGTTGGGTAACCGACCCGCGTGCATTCCTCGATTTACTAATGGCGTACACTATTCAGAATTCGATATAAGTAGCTATGTCGATTCGATTCATGTCAGGATACCTACACCCGTAACTAAAGTATTATCTTATAGACCATTTGTTGAACCAACAAGATATTTAAAAGTCTTCATTTCAGGACTGTGAGGATAATAATGGCGGTTGTGACCATATATGCAACCAATCGTCTAACAAATGCGAATGTAATGGGGGTTACTATGTAAATCCCAATGATCCAAGCAGCTGTAAAGGTGAGTGAAAAGATTCCAGGCATTTGGGAAATTTGGAAAACAATATCATTCTCTTGCAGATATCGACGAATGCGAGGAGTCCAATGGGGGTTGTTCGCAATTGTGCAACAACTTGCCGGGGGAATTCGTATGCTCCTGTAAAAGTGGTTATGAAATAGATGAATCTGACGGGAAAACATGTTTGGGTATGTACTGAAATATATATATTACATTTCAAATACAACATTTTATTTCTCACCCCGATTCACTCCAGACATTAACGAATGCAAGGATTCCGCTTTGTCGTGGGACTGTGAAGGTGGCTGCGAGAACCTTATAGGTTCCTATCGCTGTCTTCCGTCAACAGAGGGCATACTCGTAGCCCCAAATCAGACATTGCCGGAAGACAACGGTGTCTTGTCGGGCACAATAGTGTGCAAGCCCGGCTTTGAGCTATCCCCCGATGGCCGCGAGTGTCAGGACATCAACGAGTGTGAATTGGAGGATGAAGACCCAAAAACCGGTCTGATAACCCATCGCTATTGTGAGCATAAGTGTGAGAACTTAAAGGGCTCCTTCCGGTGTCACTGCCCTGAGGGCTACAATCTGCTCGACGATAAGCAGAGCTGTGCCTTGGATGGCTCACCTTCTTCTCCAAAAAACAATATCAAAAAAGATGATGTTAAAACTCCCATAGTCGAAACTCCATGTGGCGCCCAAGAAAATCTCACAAAATGCGCCTATGCGTGCCAGAATCTGCCAAATGGAAACTACCAATGCCAGTGTCCTGAGGGTTATAAGTTATCTGAAGATCAGCATTCCTGTTTGGTGGATCAATACTTCTGCGCCATGGGAAAAGGACTTGAGAAGTGCTGGCCAGGAAAATGTTTGCCCCTTAAGAATGAGATTGGCTTCACCTGTGAGTGCCCAAGGGGATTCCGTAGTGAAGGGTTGAGTTGCCAGGACGTTGACGAGTGCGCGGATGGTTCAAATTACTGCAGCCACGATTGTCACAATAAACGAGGTGGCTATCGGTGCTCCTGCCCCCAAGGACTAACCCAAATCAACGATTTCACCTGTGTGCCTCCCTGTGAGTTTCGTAACAACGGTTGCGAACAGATCTGCTTGGCTGACAGAGGTGGCGAGTGCTCCTGTCGCGACGGATATCGCCTAAAGTCCGATGGCAAAAGTTGCGAGGTTGTGAAGAGGTGTCAGCACCCTCCCAACGGCAAAGTCCAATGTTCTGCCCACCCCCACAAGTTATCTTTTAAATGGAACTGCCTTACTACCTGCAATCCTGGCTATGTCCTGCAGGGTCCGGAGCACAGTACCTGTTATCCCAGTGGACGTTGGGAAGGTGCAGAGCCCAAGTGCGTAGGTGAGTAAAAAAGCCAGAAGCTTAGGGTTTAAGAGGTCCTATTTGTTCATCAATTTCCACACAGCTGTCACCCCGAATCGCGTACCGAGATCATTACTCTGTCCTGCTCTAAAACCTGTCCGCAATGGAGTTATAATACCGCATCGCTGCATTAAACGTCCCTCCAAATTTGAAGACATCTGCAAATTGAAATGTAATCCCGGCTTTGAGCCTATCGGAGATTCTCACACAGCCTGCACGATCCCGTGGGGCTGGTCTTCTTCCGAGCTTCGTTGTCAGCCATCCAATCAACGAATTGTAGAAAGCATACGGATCTTCTAAGCCTAAGCTGAGTCCAACTACTGAGTCACCATACGACTTTTCGAATCCTCCAGAAACCCCCATTCGCACAAATTCCTGGGATAATTCGTTTGGAAACTATAACCAGAGAACTAAGCCTCGGCATTCGTTTATAAATCCTGTTCTGAGTCCAACCACTGAGTCACCAAACGACTTTTCAAATCCTCCAGAAACCCCCATTCGCAAAACTTCCTGGGATAATTCGTTCGGAAACTTTAACCGGAGAACAAAGTACCCATCGGAATAAAAAAAATCTTTTACGATTCTGAAAAAAAAATTCAAACGGCGCTTTTTCGATTTTGGTATAAAGCAGGTATATCGTATGAAATGTATGGGTCGGACACACATTCTGAGAACCAAATTGGATATTTAAATATCCTTTATCCAACAGAATTTAATATCGAATGAAAACTAATTAGGAAAAAAATTAAGAATTAAGAAATCAAATTAATTAAGAAAAATTTTTGAATGGAATCCGCAATAAGTAAACCCATAACTGATGTTTTCTTTTCAAATTTTGTAGGTCAACCTTCCCTTGGGGTGAGAAGACTTTTTTAATCGAATTTTTATTTTGTGCATTGTTTGCGTGCTCAACTAAGCATTTACGACATAATTCTGAACTTAACAAAAACGAATGAAAAATGAAATGCGAAATTAAAACAACATTTTTGTTGTATTTTGTTCTTTTTGATTGTTTCAAAGCAGTTTATTTCAAAATGCTGAAAAAAATGTAATAAAAAAAATAAAACTAATAAAAGTTTATTTCTACTAAGTAATATTTGTAAATTGCAGTTGAAAAAATATTATTTTAGTTTCCTTAAAAATATTTTTTATATAAGCTTTTGATTTTTAACATTTTTGTAATATTACTGTGGTTTAAATATTGATTTAATCAGTTTGTGGTACTGTAAGCCAAGTGCTCGCTCTTCAATTGACTTCGTTGTAATTTTAAAAAGGTCTTTCGCACAGATAATCTAGAAATTGATTCAAGAACTTTAAAAGAAAAAATCAGGTCAGTGAACTGATTGATATAATTGATTCCAAATAAGTGATTTCGATCGTTAGTGTTAAACAAATAAATGCGTAAATACAAAAATTTAAGGGGTTATCCGGGTCTTGACACTTCAAAAACCAAGCCGGACACATACACTATCAAAATAACTTTGGTTTTTTTGATTACAGATAAAAATTGACGGAGATATTTTGCCTACCGCAAGGACACAATTTTTTATGAGGTCAAGTTCAAGCCTGCCTCAACGGGTCAATTTTTAAAATTTTTCAAATTCAAATCTGTTCAAATTTTTACACAATGTTGGTCAAACCTTATAGATTAATGTACAATAAATGAAATTTGTAAAATTGTCGTAAGATCTTTTTAAAAAATTCACGAAAATAGGCCTTTTTCGTGCTTCAAGACCCGAATAAACCCTTAAAATCTTGAAGCAGCGACTATTTTGGAACAAGAACAACATTACAGAAAGCGCTTTACCATAAAAATGTTGCATATGACAAACACACCCACAAACATAAGACTGAACTACAATACAGACGTTGAAAATTGCGCTCATATCTACAGACACTTACTTAAATACAAATTAATATTAATCTCCACGTCCGACGGAGCAGACGTGTAGTAATTTTAAATTTTGTTTTCATTGTCATTGAACTCGAGCCAAAAAAACTTTAAAATAAAAAAATTAAAGAAAATATATTATTTCGAAAAATCTACGTATTTCTGAACTTAAAAATCAGGAACTTAGAACTGAATAGGAATTTTAAACTTTGGCAGTGCTAAAGGCAAATCTTTATCAATTTTTTTATTGCACTTAAAAATGGAATGGAATTCTGGAAGCTGGATAGTCTTTAAGTTTTAATATTAAGAATTTGGATTGGGACTTATTAAACTGTGAAATTGCTTTTCGTGAAGATCGAGGTCTTGGCTCTTAAAATAACATTACCGTAACACATCCATATAAAAAAAAAACACTCAACAAGAAAATTATGTCCCTGAGATCTTAATGTTTATACGGACAGAGTGACACACAACCGGAAAATGCTAGATCGTCTGATGCCGGCGACACGTTTTTAATGCCCTGCCTAAAAACTTTTCGCAACCAATGAAATGAAAATAAAAATGTTAAAATTAAACATTATAACAACCAATACAAATGTCATAAAATAACATAATTAAACAAAATAAAATTTTAAATATAATACAACCAAAACATACCAGTTTTTTAACATATGCATCTTCGAAATTCTTAAAAGTACTTCAAATAAAAAATCGCAAATTTCTTAAAGGGTATTTGGTTTTGCAACTACTACCTCGCAGCTCTACGTTTTACCGAACATTGAATAAAGCTTATACATTTAATTTAAACATATTAGTCATTCCACGACGGCATTCATATTTTCTATAACAAATTATTTTGAATCCCAATTCTCATTAAATGTTTTTCCGCTGGCTGTTGTACTGTGTACGGCTGAACAGCAACTAACTGCCGAAATTCAGCTGAACCAAAAATGAGCTGAAGACTTATTCCAAAGTCTTACGAAGTCCTACGAAGTCTTACGAAGTCTCCAACTGTCGGCGAGTCGGCAAAATACTATCTTATGTTTATTAGATAGGGTCGTGTTCCGTTTAGCAATCACTTGCTGTTCAGGTGTCAAGCATGAAATACGACGTTGCTCAACTGAATAAATATACACAATAAATTTCGATTTTATAAAAAATATGGTAGGGAATGCTTAATATTGTAATTTAGTTATGTAAAATTAAATGTTATTTAATATTAAGACATATTATTTTACGGAGGACCGTTTGGGAAAATTATTAGAGCTTAAAGCTAAATATTTTTATTCGTGCAAAAGTATGTAACAGCTAGAAGGAAGCGTTTCCGACCCTATAAAGTATATATATTCTTGATCAGGGTCACTAGCCGAGTCGATATAGCCATGTCCGTCTGTCTGTCCGACTGTCTGTCCGTCTGTCTGTCCGTCTGTCTGTCCGTCTGTCTGTCCGTCTGTCTGTCTGTCTGTCCGTATGAACGCTGAGATCTCGGAAACTATAAAAGCTAGAAGATTGGCCTTTTGCATGTAGATTTGAGGAGTTCCTACGCAGCGCAAGTTTGTTTCAAAAAAGTGCCACGCCTTCTTTAACGCCCACAATCGCTTATATACGATTTTAAAAATTTAAATATTTCGGAAAAGTAAAAATGCAGTTTTATTGTGTTTATCAATACCTATCGAAATCGGACCATTCGTTAAAAAGTTATGCGTGATCAAAGTTTCTATCTCCATCTCCCTCGCACTTCCTTTACCTGAGTAACGGGTATCTGATAGTCGGGGCACCCGACTATAGCGTTCTCTCCTGTTAAAATTATATTACCGATACTATTTCGGATGTGGACAATTTAGCTTTTTTGCACTCACACAAAAGCAATGTACGCATGTCATAGTATGTGTGCCGTCGCTGTTCTACACTCATAAAAATCAATTCCTAAACTTTAGATATGTATCTCGTTTTTGATTCAGCCTGCCTTTTATTCTAGAGAACATTTTCTAGTTTCGAGATAATTGAATTTTGATTTCCTTTCTTGATAGTTTTTAAGAAAAAACTTTCCTTAAAAATAAAGAAATTTACTACGAATGTAGCAACACCATTTTGAAAGTTTTCAGCTGTCTTTAAGATGCGAAACATTTGAAATGAAACAAGCTGCGTTTAAGATGCAAAAGAAATATAACGGTATTAAAAAACTCTTCAAATCTTAAACCATTTTGGGTACCGCAAAACAATGAAATAAACGCTCTCAAAAGAATTGGAAGGCAAAGCTTTAATTATATCTATAAATTTATTTTTCCATATTTCTTTCCTTATCAGCTATATGATAAAGTCTTCCGATTTTTATTAAAGTTAAGCGTAATTCTTGAATTGTTACAAATGACTATGTATGTGGGAGTATTACATATAATATATAAGAAACAAGGAAGTTATAATTTGTATACCCTTGCAGAGAGTATTATTATTTATATATAAGTCGGAACGAGCCGGGCGACTATATCATATAGCTCCCATAGAAAAAACCGGACAAATAAATTCAAAAATATGATAACCTTGTTGTTTTTAATATTTTTTTTTGTTCTAAGGGATTTGGAATTACGGTTTTAATTAAAATAAAATCGGGTATCTATATAATTTAGCTGAAAATAGGCATAGCTTCATTGTTTTTAGTAGGTATCGAAATGTAGTCGATTTGTAATAACTGCAAGGGTATAAAAAATTCGGCTTGCCGAAGTTTGTTCCTGTCTTGTTTTATTATATAATTGTTCCTATGGGAGCCATCTAATTTAGTCGACCAATCGGAATATTTAAAAAAAGAATTTTTGGAAAGTTTCATCGGAATAGCTTTAAATCTGAGAGAATAGTTTGCCAAGAAACGGACAGATGAACGGACGGACGGACATGACTAGATAGACTCGCTTGGTTATGCTGTTCAAGAACTTACTATAGTATACATAAATGTTATGCAAAAGGTTTAAAAACCTATATATATATGTATATTCTCTGACGTTACAAATCATTTCAATCATTTCCAATCACATGACCCGCTGTATTCGCTCGCCAAATTGTAAATTGTTGTGAATAAAACACAGTCGAGCAAACATATTATTCTGATGTAATAAAGTTTTATCTTAGAGTATAAAAACCAGCATATATTTTCGTTTATATTCATGAATTTTTAAACATGTTATTACCAACATTAAGCATCTTATTACCAAACATTGCTCAATTTTTATGATGGCGAATAATAGAGAAAATCATTTAAAGGTTTTGTGTTTAAACATATTTATATCGTCGTGCTTAATAATATAATTTAAACCTTGTTAGTTTAATTTTAGGCTTGCTTTTATTTAACAACATTGTTTTAAGTTTGCAAATCTGAGCAGCTAAGATAAAACTTTGTTACAAAGCCAAAATACATACATATAATCTCAATAGTCCGCAATTCATTAAAATTTAAAAATAACAAATTAAACAAACAAAATTAAAAAATAAAATTAATATCAAAAACATGTTTTAAATATTCGTAAAAATCAAGAGGTAGTATAGCCAAACTCCTTTGGCGTTAAACAACTGGCGTTCACGTGTAAAAAAGAGTAAGTTTGAGTTATTACGATTTTACTCGATTTTAGAAAATTCTTGTTTTAAGAATATTTAGTGTGATGATTTCTATATCAAAATCTGTACTTAAAAAATGAAAAAGAAATCGTTAGAGCCGTTTTCGGAAAAGTGCCCTCATTCTTCTTGTTCTAAATTTTTTTTTTTAATATACAAGAAAGTTACCATTAAACAATTAAACAATTTACTTGTTCGAAGGAATAATATAAATATTTCCCACAAAAGTAATAACAATATACATATCTTGATTTAACGTCTGTTTTCATATTTTTAAAAAAAAAATTATGATTTTTTAATGAATAAAAAATAAGCATAAGAATAAATTTTTTACATAAAAAATGAAATACTATAAAAAATGGTATCTGTTAATTTTATAGCTTCATCGGAAATACATACATTCATCTGAACTCAACTTAATCTTTATTGCTCTCGAGAACATAAAAAAAAGCAAGCGTGGCTTGGGATTGTGTTCGCATTGTCGTTTCGGATGTTCAAGTGTTCAGTAGATTTTTCTAGGTATTAAAGTGTTATCAAAAAAAATCTGAAATAATTAGAAACCAAGCGTGTTTTGCCCAATAGGTAATCTTTGCTTATTAGTGTGTGAGTATATTTCAATTTCATTCATCCAACTTTATTCTAAGTTAGCTCAAACTTGAGAGATATCGAGTTACTTTAAAATCAAAAATAAATAAATATAAAAAAAATTGTCAGCTTAACAAAGAAAATCAGGTTAAAAAGTACTAATCGTGTACTTTTAAAAACAACTCTTTTCAGAAGACCCCTTGAACGGGTTACATGGATTTCACAGGCCTAATTAAAAGAATTTTTTGAAAAGTGATATTTTATTCTATGTGAAAATGTTAATCCATAACTTTTCAATAATTCCTTTTATGTGTAAGGAGAGAGCCACGTAAACTATGGTCTTTTTCCAAATTAAAATTTGTTTTTGTCAGCCACTTATACAAGACCTAAAAAAATATTTATTTCCCATCTACTATCTGTACATTTCATCAAATGATGATAATGACGTCGAACTTCATATGGGAAACATATTTGCTCAAAACTTTTCACTTAGTCAATCCAAAAATATTAAAATTGCTAGTGATAAATACTAAATAATGCAAAAGTCAGATTACACAAATAAAAATTTTAGCTTTATTGTATGTAACATATACGCATACACTCAGATATATAGTATTTTTTTGTATATATAAAACTTTTTAATAACTTTTTTTCAGTTAAAAAAATTAAATTTTAATAACTTCACTGTTTTGAAAAGATAAAATGATTTATTTTTAAAATATTTTGAGAGTTTAGCGCTTGAATCAGGACTTAGTATTCAGTCCATTTATTTTTTTTTCAGAAAGCACTGTTTTGGTCGGTTGTTGATGTTAAACTGTGCTGACAAACATAATTATTTACAAATATGAATAAAAGCTCTAAGATATATATATTCTCTATTCGATCCGGTTAATGGAAAAGCTTCAGTAGATAGCTTTGAGGGACTAGTTTGCGTAGAAACAGACGGACGGACATGGTTAGATCGACTCTCCTGGTGATGTTGATCCAGTATATATATACTTTATAGGGTACGAAATGTCTCCTTTACTGCGTTGCAAACTTTTGACTGAAATTACCCTCTGCAAGGGTATAAAAATATTGTAAACTTTTATTAAACGAAACGTTTAAATATATATTCTCTTCGATTTGATGCCGATTACGATATATATACATACATATATTTTTTTCGAGAGCGCACTGTTTTCTTCGGTTATCAATGTTAAAATGTGGTGCCAAATATACAAAAATAATCTAAAAGTTCAACGTGTTTGCTGTGCCAATAATTAAGTTCGTCACTGTATATGTATAAAAGCTCTGAGGTATTTATACCCATTAGTCGAAGTATATTGAATGCAAGCAAAACGAATCGTATAGGGGCTGAAAGGGAATTTTTATAAAGTTTATTTATCATTTTTTCGCCACAAAATTTGATATCTGAAATTCTGTATGTTGAGGGTGGGATTGTTTTGACCTTTTTACCTCGTTTTGAGATGTTTTGCTTGACAATACCAAAAATCGACAATACAGTCAGACACTCAAATAGACTAAATTTAATCAATTCGGTTGCTTATTTTTTATCGAATATAAAAACACAAAATGTCTTAACTTCATGATTTGAAGTAATTAAAAAAATATTAAAATAAAGGAAATACCAATTAGAATTATAATTAATTCCTAATTTTATTTTATTTTACTGAATAATATTATTGGAATAATTATACTGGCTGAGATAAAATCTTGGACTCATGAATATTAAATACATGCGACAAAATAAATACACTTTTAAAATTTTTCTTATTCGGCTCTTTCTCTATTAAAAATTAATTTAAAGGTAATGTTTCCACTTTTTTAGGCTAAAATAAATTTTTCTATCATGACAACTTATTTAATCATGACAATCCACTCTTTTCTTATGCTTGTTCTAGCAATACAATCAAACACTTTGGGAAAAACAGAATTAAAACCATTAAGGAACCTCGTTAAGAGGTGTTTGAGTTTGTTTATTAAAATTATCCTTGTCTTAAAAGTAGACTGATGTTACCGTCAAAAGTAGAGTTGCTTCAGCAAGCCGAAGCTTTTAAAACCCTGCATCTATGGCAAAAATTTAATATTTTATAAAGCTACAATTTTATTCGTCTATGTTCAAAAAGATCTGCACATTTTACGATACATTTTTCGATCAAATCTTTGCCAGCTAGTTTATATATCCGTTCGATTATTATACAATTTTTAAAAAGTGATGCTGGTTAGCATATATAGGGTCGGGTATTCATCTCGTTGTTTACATTTTTTATTAAATTTAAAGGAAATTTTGCAGAAGTGGCAAAGGTGTTGCGAAGCTGGAAATTATGGAGTGTTTGAACGGCTGCAGAATGTGGTTGGCGAAATATGTATTGAGCTTGCTGATATCCCTTGCAATTTCTACAGGTAAGTGTGGACGGAAATAAAAAACAGTCGAACTTGACTGCTTGAAATTTTATAACTTAAATTTTGTTTAAGTTGAACTAAACTAAAGGGTAGTGGTGTTAAGCATTAATATTTAATACATTATTTAATATTTAATATATTATATTAATATTTAATATTTAATACATTTAATACAAGTTATTTTTATTAAAAGAAAACATGATCTTGGAGATAAGCCCATTTGCTAAACCACCTGAAAAACAAGCAGAAGCGCAACGGTTGTCTCGACTATAAGATACCCGTTACTCAGCTAACCAATTTCAAAGCAAATAAATAAATAAGCATTTCGAAAATTTTAGAAACGCGCCATATACCGGACTGTCGTGCAAATATTTTTTTTACCGCTGAGGATGGGGAATCTTCATAGATACGAGGTCTACCTGCTTCAGTCTAGAGCACTTGCATGTACAATTATTCGCTGTTAACAACACCTACGTACTAAACCACCACCTCTACCCATTCTTGGGCGATTTGTATGGCTATTTTGATGTTGTGCCAAGTAAGCAGGCCCCCCGCTGACAGTTTTCTCGCTCTGTTCCGCTCGCTATATATGAATATATGGAGTCCACAATACGGAATACATATTTGTCGTATTGAATCACTACAAAAAACTTTCTTCTTTTTGCTTTGCGGCGCCTAAACTGGAATGCAAACCTTAACTTACCTTAGTAGACTTCTGTTGATTAATTTACCCTCCCTAGCCAACCGTAGAACGATGCTTGATACTATCTTCATTTATAACCTTATACATGGTGATATTCACTGCCCCGACTTGGAAGTTCAGGTAAACTTTTCTGTGCCAAGTAGATTAACTAGAAAACATATTCCCCTAATATTAAATCATTGTAGATCTAACTATGCCTTGCATGAGCCTTTCAGAGTATTATGTTCTGGACTTTTTCCTATAATCTCAAATCTTGACTCTCTGCCGCTCCTAAAACGATTAATACTAGCTTCATTGGCATAAAATTGATCTTACTATTACTTTTTTCCCCGGACTTTTACTTATATTTTCTTATCTCGCGTCTATCTTCTCGCGAATCGTGCCGTACGATACACGACTGCGCCCCTCGGTCGGTTGGGCGGGTAAGTGGGCCGAAGGCCGTGAGACTTCGAGCAAAACAAAAAAAAAATAAATAAATAAATAAATATACATATACATATATATGAACCAACTTTTCAAATGGCACGTCATAACTAACACAAACTATGTCCCATAACTTCTAATGTAATGGTGCAATTTTTGATGCCGAAAGATATTGTCCGAATAATTTTTTTAGTGTAGTCTTAACATATTCCGCCCTCTACGATGTCTCTAAGTGGGCGTCTTTTTTTTGTGAGCGTTATAGAAGGACGTGGCAACAACATAAACTTGCGCTGCGTAAGAAAACTTAAAAATCGTCATGCTAAATACCAAATCTCTAGTTCTTGAAGTTTCCGAGATCTCGATGTTATATGGCTTACTCAACTCGGCTATTGATACGATCAAGAATATATAAACTTTATAGGGTCGGAAAAGCTTCCATCTTAACAAAATATAAATACAATACCTTTTTATTTTAAGACTAACGGGAATAATTATATCGCCACATATTTGGGCACTAAGAAATTATGCATTTATGTATTTACCTTCTTCTCATTTTAAATTCTTATCCTTTTTATATATTCCCTCCCATAGCGACTTTAAAAATAAACACTGATATTCCCGAATCTCTTCCCTTATTGGATAACGCTTCGGTGGCAGGATTTGACCTAACATGCGATTGGGTCCCTCCTCCAAGGATTGATAATGGAAATGCTACCGTTAAAGTTTTTTTGGGAGGAGGAAAAAGGTTCCTGGGGGCCAAATTTATCTGCAGTAAAAATTACGAATTAGAGAATACCCAAAACAGTGTAATGTTTTGCTCAAATTATAAATGGTTGGGTGACCGACCCAAATGTATTCCTCGTCTGGATTATAGCGAACAGAATTCGATAGAAGTGAATAAAGCTACATCTAGCGATTTCAGCAAAAGAGATATCTCTTCTCGCTGCCCTGAGGGTTATCACCCCTCCGAGGAAAGGCAGACTTGTGTCTTGAATGAGTCACCTCCAAAATCGTGCGAACCCGGCTTCAAACTTTCCGCAAATGGCAGCAGGTGTCAAGACATTGACGAATGTGAATTGGAGGATGAAGACCCACAAACCGGTCTGATAACCCATCGCTATTGTGAGCATAAGTGTGAGAACTTACAGGGCTCCTTCCGTTGTCACTGCCCTGAGGGCTACAATCTGCTCGAGGATAAGCAGAGCTGTGCCTTGGATGGCTTACCTTCTTCTCCAAAAAACAATACCATAAAAGATGTTGATAAAACTCCCATAGTCGAAACTCCATGTGGCTCCCAGGAAAATCTCACAAAATGCGCCTATGCATGCCAAGATCTCCCGAATGGAACCTACCAATGCCAGTGTCCTGAGGGTTATAAGTTATCTGACGATCAGCATTCCTGTTTGGTGGATCAACACTTCTGCTCCATGGGAAAAGGATTTGAGAAGTGCCGGCCAGGAAAATGTTTGCCCCTTAAGGATGAGATTGGCTTCACCTGTGAGTGTCCAAGGGGCTTCCGTAGTGAAGGGTTGAGTTGCCAGGACGTTGACGAGTGCGCGGATGGTACACATTTCTGCAGTCACGACTGCCACAATAACTGGGGTGGCTATCGGTGCTCCTGCCCCCAAGGACTCACCCAAATCAACGATTCCACCTGTGTGCCTCCCTGCGAGAGTCGTAACAACGGTTGCAAACAGATCTGCTTGGCTGACAGAGGTGGCGAGTGCTCCTGTTGCAAAGGATATCGCCTAAAGTCCGATGGCAAAAGTTGCGAGGATGTGAACGAGTGTCTGGTGAATAACGGGGGCTGCCAGCACAAGTGCCACAATCTAGAAGGTTTGTATTGGTGCTTTATTTTGCAAAGGAAATCTAAAAAATTGATAACTTAAACTTGATTCAAAAATATTTACATATACTTTTTAATTTGCTAAAAAAAATAATTTGCAAAACGAGCTTGTATAACCTTTTAAATCTTCTGTGTTCTATATAAACCGGATATTTACAAGGGACTTATAGGGATATGAATACTGTACCGAAATTTGTATTAACCTTCTAGGTACCCATGCTTGCTCCTGCGAAAGAGGTTACATGTTGACCAAGGACCAAAAGACTTGCCAGAACAATAATCCTTGGTATAATTGGCAGCCCAAGGACCTCTGTCCGGCATTCCAGGACCCTGCAAACGGCAAAGCCCACTGTATACGGTACCTTCAAGGGCTGTTTTTCAAATGGCACTGTGATATTACTTGTAATCCTGACTATGTCCTGCAGGGTCCTAAGTACAGCACCTGTGATGCCAGCGGAATTTGGGATATTCCAAAACCCAAGTGCATGGGTGAGTAAAAGGGTTTAAGGTTTATTTATAATATTTTATATAAGGAATATAAATTCTAAATTCTATAACATAGGAACTTCGATTCTGTCATTTTAAAGATTATACGTTGGGGGTAATGTTCACTAGTATTCTTTATTCTATTTATTTTTTCTATTGCAGGCTTATTTAGTAATGGAGTGGGTATTGAATTTTCGGTTACTGCAGGTGCCAGAGTCGGGTTCGATTTTTATACCCTTGCAGAGGGTATTATAATTTCAGTCAAAAGTTTGCAACGCAGTGAAGGAGACATTTCCGACCCTATAAAGTATATATATTCTTGATCAGCATTACCAGGAGAGTCGATCTAGCCATGTCCGTCTGTCCGTCCGTCTGTCCGTCCGTCTGTCCGTCCGTCCGTTTCTACGCAAACTAGTCCCTCAGTTTTAAAGCTATCTGCTTGAAACTTTCCCAAAAGTTGTCTTTCTATTGCAGGTAGTATATAAGTCGGAACGAGCCGGATCGGGCCACTATATTATATAGCTGCCATATAACTGAACGATCAGAAATGCCATAACTTTGATGTTTTTCAGGTTAGGAAGTTGGGATTTTCTATGGGTTTTATTTTTGGCCGATCAGTCTGACCTACCAAATTTCATAAGGATCGGCTGACAATATCCTATAGCCGCATTGATCGGAAATGCCATAACTTTGGTGTTTGTAAAGTTAGGAAGTTGGGATTATCTATGGGTTTTATTTTTGGCCAATCAATCCGACCTGCCAAATTTCATAAGGATCGGCCGACTATATCCTATAGCTGCCATATAACTGAACGATTTGATGACATAACTTTGGTGTTTTTAAAGTTAGGAAGTTGGGATTTTTTATGAGTATTAAGAATGCATCATATGAATAACCGATCCGGTTTTGGAGAATATAATTTACAGAATATTCTGCACGGGTATATCAACTTCGGCTCCACCCGAAGTTAGCTTTCTTTCTTGTTATAGTTAGTGTCAACCATTTCAAGGTTATTTTTGTATTTTTTTAAATCGTGTATATTTTGTAGAAATATTTAAGGCCTATATTAACTTTCATATAATTACCAACAGCGGTCAAACAGACCCACGTACCGAGGATAAGACCGTATCCTTTAGTTTGCCCTGCTCTGCAACGTGCACGCAATGGAGTCATATCACCGGAATCATGCACTCAAATTCCATCAAAAAATGGACAAATCTGCCAATTAAAGTGTGATCACGGCTTTGAACCTATCGGACAGCTTCAAACATTTTGCATGTTCCCGTGGGGCTGGGCCTTCGAATACGATCTTCATTGCCAGCCCTTCAACTTGTTTGACAACCAATTCAACTTACTTACATGTTATTTACATATTTATTAGGTCAACCTACATCGGCATCGAAAAACCATTTTTAAATTGTGCATTGATTGCTGGCACATTTTAGCATTAACGACATTAACTATTCTCAATATATATAAATAAATTGAAGGCTTGAAAATAAATCTAATAACAAAATTTGTTAAAAAAATGTATTTCCAACGATATTTGTATTTTATTTATTGCACAAATAAGAGTGGAGCAGATGGACATGGCTAGATCGACTCGCTTTTTGATGTTGATCAAGAACATATAAATGTGTTCGACACAGCGTCGACTGAAATAAAAATAAACTCAGCACGGGTAAAAAAACAAAACTCTATAAATTACCATTTTTTACCATATAATGCTTCGGTTAAATAATTAAGCATTTTCGGCCCTTTCTAACCCTTATAATATGAGATTTGCTGATAGATAAATTGTAGTCATAATAGTTAGGTTGAATATGATAACTATGGACTTGCTTGATTGCTGGTTTAACGTAGGTCACATAATGTCAATCCTTCAAATTTTCAAGGACTCACATAGCTATTTCCGACCGATAAAGAAATTTGAGTAAAAATGAACTACTTGTTTTAATAGAAACCTAGGTCCCAAAGAGTCCATTTCTCAAATTTCGAATAATGCAGTTGGCTTTTTCTGCACAACAAGAAGTTTCAGTAAAAATATATTACTTATTATAGCCAACGCGCGTTGAGGATTCGGCTTATATAGTCGAAGGTGTGGACATTCAGGAGGCCAGAAACACCTGTCTGCTGTTCTCGCCCAAGGATTCTTCGCTTTCGAGCGGAGCTTTGGCTAATATTTTGGCCATTTTCAAGAAGCATGATATCAACCTTGTTCACATTGAGTCGCGATCCTCGCTGCGAGTGCCTGGTTACGAGTTTTTCGTAGAGGCCGATGGAAAGTCTGGGCAAGCGAGGATGTTAAGGAGCAGTGCTGCTACTTAAACATCATTTCGCGTGACTACAAAGCTAATGCCACGGCGGTGCCCTGGTTCCCACGGCGTATAAGCGATCTGGATCGTTTCGCCTTGTTTCAAAAATAGACGACTGCCTTCCTTTTTTACGGCTACCACCCCAAATCTCATATAAATCATCAAAAACAAGTCGGAAAGCAAATCTCGGAAAGCCGAAACATTTGTACCCTTGCTACTGTAACAAAAAAATATTCTATAAAACTACTATGAATTGATTTTTATGGGAATGCTGATTAAGAATATATCAACTTTACAATGTGATAAATGTCTTCCTTAGTTTACGTTGCAATGTTTTGACTGAAATTGTAATACCCTATGTAAATTTCTAAGTAATGGTTTAAATTTAATCTTTGTTGGACAAACTCACTAAGAAACTCACAGAGCCGTGGAAATGGCGTTGCCAAAATTAGAAACGGATTTGCGCTAACCTGGCATCCAAATAGTCTGAATATTTCATCACCATTCCACAACTCTTATAATTCAAAGATATCAACGTTAAGACGGCATTCGTTGGGAGTACATGGACATACTGTCTAATAGACTTGATTTGATCCAGATTTTAAATTGTAATTTTTTATTTTATGCACGTATTCAAAATACCACTTAATACTACGACAAACAGGTATAAATATCTTTTATATAATATTTTATTTCTTTTGTATATATTTTGCAACAATTCTCTTTGGCGCCTCAGTCTAGCTGCGACTACTGCTAAAATCAGTGCGTTCTTAACCAAATCAAAATATATTGTAATCAACTATAACATAATCTTATAAGTACCTAATAAAGGGATATCAAAATAGTTTCTTTTTAATTTAAATTATAAAGTTTTCTGAAGTGAGAGTGAAAAGGTGCGAGGAAGGTGATTTATGGATCAACAAGGAATGTGGTTGGCGAAATATGCAATATTAAGCGCGCTGGTATGCGTTGCGATTCCAACAGGTAGGAGTGGAAGGAAACCTAATAACACATCTCTAAATAAATAAAAAAATATTCTAAAAGAAAAAAATTAACAAAATTATTTACACAAAGAGTCAAACATTAATATATTTTTTAAGAGTCAATGGCCTTCAAATATCAAATGAGTCAAGCTAAACGCGATAAACAAATATTAAAGTATACTTTCGGACACTTCAATAATACGTGCCTCTATATCTTTTATGTGTACTCTACTTTCTGATCTTATTTTCTTAAGTACCAATTTTACCTATTTATTTTTACAGTGACTTCAAAAGCTTTGAAGGATATTCCCGAAGTTTCCCTAATGGACGATGGTTTGGCAGCCATGTTCGACCGAACTTGCGATTGGGTCGCACCTCCAATTATTTCTAATGGTAAGGCCACCGTCGCTCTTCGTCGGAATGGAGAAAGACTCTTCCTGGTGGCCAACTATGTCTGCAATGACAACTACGAAACCTTTTATCCCGGTGACAGTGCCATGTTCTGTTCAAACTATAAATGGTTGGGTAACCGACTCAAGTGCATTCGTCGACCTACATATGGTAAAGACGAAGTCAGTAAATCGACACCCGTAGCTAATGTATTAACTTATAGACCATTTGTTGAACCAACAAGATATTTTAAAGTCTTCATTTCAGAACTGTGAGGATAATAATGGCGGTTGTGCCCATATATGCAACAAATCGTCTAACAAATGCGAATGTTATGGGGGTTACTATGTAAATCCTAATGATCCAAGCAGCTGTGAAGGTGGGTGAAAAGATTCCAGGCATATTGATAAATTTTGAAAACAATATTCTCTTGCAGATATCGACGAATGCGAGGAGTCCAATGGGGGTTGCTCCCAATTGTGCAACAACTTGCCGGGGGAATTCGTATGCTCCTGTAAAAGTGGTTATGAAATAGATGAATCTGACGGTAAAACATGTTTGGGTATGTACTGAAATATATATTACATTTCAAATACAACATTTTATTTCTCACCCCGATTCACTCCAGACATTAACGAATGCAAGGATTCCGCTTTGTCGTGGGACTGTGAAGGTGGCTGCGAGAACCTTATAGGTTCCTATCGCTGTCTTCCGTCAACAGAGGGCATACTCGTAGCCCCAAATCAGACATTGCCGGAAGACAACGGTGTCTTCTCGGGCACAATAGTGTGCAAGCCTATCGGAGATTCTCACACAGCCTGCACGATCCCGTGGGGCTGGTCTTCTTCCGATCTTCGTTGTCAGCCATCCAATCAACGACTTGTAGAAAGCAATGCATACGGTTCTTCTAAGCCAGTTGATTCTTTTTCGAATCCTCCAGAAACCTCCATTCACGAAAATACCTGAATCCGGAGCAAAGCCTAGGTGCACAAATTTTATTTTACACATTTTTGAAACTTCATTATACATTATTTAGTTATTTTTATACCCTTGCAGAGGGTATTATAATTTCAGTCAAAAGTTTGCAACGCAGTGAAGAAGACATTTCCGACCCTGTAAAGTATATATATTCTTGATCAGCATCACCAGGAGAGTCGATCTAGCCATGTCCGTCTGTCCGTCCGTCTGTCCGTCCGTCTGTCCGTCAAAGGAGGAGGCCAATCAATCGGACCTACCAAATTCCATAAGGATCGGACGACTATATCTTATAGCTGCCATATAACTGAACGATTGGAAATACCATAATTTTGGTGTTTTTATACCCGTTACTCGTAGAGTAAAAGGGTATATTGTATTCGTGCAAAAGTATGTAACAGGTAGAAGGAAGCGTTTCCCTATAAAGTATATATTTCTTGTTCAGGATCACTAGGATTGTCGATGAGATCTCGGAAACTATTAAAGCTAGAAGATTGTCATTTGGCATGTAGATTTTAGGAGTTCCTACGCAGCGCAAGTTTGTTTCAAAATGGTGCCACGCCCCCTCTGACGCCCACAAGCCACAAGTTGTGGCCACAATTTTGATGCTATTATGAAAATTTTAATTGATATGTATTTGTTTCGTCAATACCTATCGATTGGCCTAATAAAAGTTTGCCACGCCCACTCTAACGCCCAAAAACCCATTAAACGCTTAAGCCTGGCTAGCGGCTACATTTCCGCCTTTCATGGCGCCATCTAACGGATGACTTTGGAACAGCTGGCCAAGGTGCTCAACAGAGTCAACTTTATTCTCGATAAGGATTTCTATTAAAGGAAATGGCGATGGTTTTCATTTGTCAATACCGAAATATATCCCAATAACTATTCAAATCAAATCTAGTTAGCCAAATTGGAGGTCTGAGTCAAACAATGGCGTATGTGTGTATGTATGTGAGCATATACATATGTATGTATTTACATTGTACACAGTTGTTTAGCTGAGTAACGGGTATCTAATAGTCAAGACACTCGACTATAGCGTTCTTTCTTGTTAAAGTTAGGAAGTTGGGATTTTTTATGAGTATTAAGAATGCGTCATATGAATAATTTTTGAGAATATAATTTACAGAATATTCTGCAAGGGTATACCAACTTCGGCTCCGCCCGAAGTTAGCTTTCTTTTCTTGTTATACCCTTGCAGAGGGTATTATAATTTTGGTCAAAAGTGTGCAACGCAGTGAAGGAGACATCTCCGACCCTATAAAGTATATATATTCTTGATCAGGATCACCTCCTGAGTTGATATAGCCATGTCCGTCTGTCCGTCTGTCCGTCTGTCCGTCTGTCTGTCCGTCTGTCTGTCCGTCTGTTTGTTTCTACGCGAACTAGTGCTCTCAGTTTTAAAGCTATCGAGTTGAAACTTTTTATACACCCTTCTTTCTTTGCACGCAGTATATATGTCGGAACGGCCGGGATCGCCGATTATATCCTATAGCTGCCATATAACTGATTGATCGGAAATGCCATAACATTGGTGTTTGTAAAGTTAGGAAGTTGGAATTTTCAACGGGTTTTATATTTGGCCAATTAATCCGACCTACCAAATTTCATAAGGATCGGCCGACTATATCCTATAGCTGCCATATAACTGATTGATCGGAAATGCCATAACTTTGGTGTTTGTGAAGTTAGGAAGTTGGGATTTTCTATGGGTTTTATATTTGGCCTATTAATCCGACCTACCAAATTTCATAAGGATCGGACGACTATATCCTATAGCCGCCATATAACTGATTGATCGGAAATGCCACAACTTTGGTTTTTGTTAAGTTAGGAAGTTGGGATTTTCTATGGGTTCTATTTTTAGCCAATCAATCCAACCTATCAAATTTCATAAGGATCGGCCGACTATATCCTATAGCTGCCATATAACTGAACGATTGGAAATGCCACAACTTTGGTGATTTTTTATGAGTATTAAGATTGCATCATATGAATAATTTTGGAGAATATAATTTACAGACATATCGAAATCGGCTAGAAGAAAGTTAGCTTTCCTTTCTTGTTATTATTTTAAATCGTGTAATTTTGTAGAAATATTTAAGGCCTATATTAACTTCCATAATATGCCATGCATTCCTGTAGAATAAAATTGTATTTTGAGTCTATTTGTTATAAGGAATAGTGGATTCCTTATATACTTTCATTTTTTTTCTTTCGAAAGTATTTTTTTTTAATAACTCACAATTTTGAAGCTCAAATTTCAATATTTAGTTTGGAACACTTGCTTGTACGAATTTTTAAACTCGAACTTTATCTTGTATATCATGAAATTTGACAAAACTTTTTTAGAACTCGATTTAAAGAATGCAAAAAAGGCAAATACGAATTAAAACATATTAAACTATATTTTTTTTGAAGAATTAATAAAATAATAATAAAATTTGACTCTGCTGACCTTTTAAAATTGATTTTACAAAATATGAGTTACATTTACTAATTTTAACTAATAGAAAAATTAATGTTTATTAATGCCGTTCTATTTCATTTACTGATTTAATTGTATAATCTATTGTTACATAACATCAGCTTAAATTTAAAGTTTATCAATTGCGTGCCCTAAGCCCAGTGAACTCTCAACTTGAAAGTGTAATCGGAAGGCATATTATGTATTTTTAAGCAAGTGTAGTTATAACATTTTTTTTTCTGCAAATCTCGGCATTTATAAGAGATGAATGACTAACATCCGACAATTGATTCAACAGCTTTTAAAGGAAAAAATTAGGTGAGTGAACTGATTGTACTATGTATATGATTTGTTTTTAAATAAAGTGATGTGGATCGTAAGTGTAAAACAACAAAAGCAGCGCGTGCCAGGCCCACTTGGAGCTATTCACTACTGAAATAATTGCCCTGAAATGCCGTTGAACTCGTTTGGTTAGAACCTGTCATTAGAAAAATACAGTCCAGGTTGTTCAGTTTTATTTTTTGCAAAAACAAAGAAATCTAAAACTAGCTGAAAAATTGTTTTGTTGATGTGGACCCCAGCAGAGCCACGAACATGAGCTGATAATGTTTTGACAATACAGTGGAACATCAAAATATTAAAAACAAAATAAGAAGAGTGAATTTATTACGAAAATTAAAGAAACATTTTTTTCCAACTCAGCTTATTTGCTTAAGATATGTTTAAATATAAAAAAAATAATGAAATTATTTTAGCTTCTGAAGGAATTACAATTACAAAAGTGCTCAGCATGTAAAAAGGCATATTTAAATTATAGAATTCTTCAGTTAAGTTTTTCTAGATTTGGTAAAATCAGTCATGATTCGCTGGGAATAAAGGTTGTATGCTAATAAATTCGAATTACAGAAGCTGGACGGTTTTAAAGTCTCATTTTTTAGATTCAATAGGCCAGACGGCGGCTTCTGTAATGAGATGGAATGAGATTTCAGGCCCATCAAGTCGGGGCACTGATAAGTGTGTTGAGATTGGACCGCATGTGGATGCCATTCCAAGATCATTCACTCGCCGATTGTCGGCAATATTATTTTTATTATTTACTGGTTTCAGTTCGGATTGGTTTTCGTTGTCGTTTTGGCTTTGCTATGGGGCCTATCAAAAAGTCTATTTAAGCGCGTGATTAACTGAGAAATAAAATCAGTTTTAAATCGTGTTCTGAGCGGACCGTTCGCCTTCGATTTGATATTTAGTGAAAGAAACAGAAAATCTTGAGAGAATGTACCAGCGGCAGGTCTCCTTTGATAAGGTTTGTTGGCGCTGCAAGTCCTCTGCGGACATCGTGAAGAAAGTGAACCGTTAAGCTATCAAATTAATAACAACATATTTTTTTTGTTTCTGTACTCATCATGAACTTTCGTTACCTTAAAGCGAGAAGAACAAAATATATAAATATAATTTAAATAATTTGATTTGGGTGAGAAAGCGGATCTATAATATAAATAACAGATTAAAATTGTGTAGTATCAATTCCACTTGTCATGGAATTGGGTTAGTTCACAATACATTTAGACAAAGGAATATTAATAGAAAAACAAAGTGTTTTTCTGGACTTAGTGGAATTTTTATTTTTGTATCAAAACAAAATAATATTTGCTTGTAGTATATTTTGTTATTTATGAGAAACTAGAAATCTGACCCTGAATTACGAAATCAGACAACAGGTTTCAAATTAAAACGTAATCCTTCTAAATATTTTAAGGTTCAGGGTCTGGAAGACTTAATAACCGTTTATTATAAAATTTAGATAAAGATTACGCTCACAGAATTATTTAGAATAACAGGTAAAATACAATTGCTTTAATTAGATTACAAAATATTTCAAAGTGTTTTATTTGATAATTTCAGTAAGTGTTCGCGAGACTGTTATTATGCCCTTCTGATTTCTCAAGATCTCGAGAAGTTAACCACTTTAGTGACCTTCTCACAGTCATCGCACACCAAGTTCTAGGTCGGGTCCTTGGTAATATGCGCCGACTGCCATTGCGGTCAGACCTAAACCTTCGATATGGTCCATACACAAGTAAATAATCTCAATGGTATAGATCGTTTGCAAGCACTACAATTACAGTTGGCTGGTACATATAAGGCTTCGTTTAAATAATTAAGAGATTTCGGTCCTAGTTAACCCTTGCAATATGAGATTTGCTGATAGCTAAATCGTAGTCATAATAGTTAGGTTAAATACCGATTATTAATATTATAGACTTGCTTGATTGCTGGTTTAACCTAGGTCACATAATGTCAATCTTTCAAATTTCCAACGACGCAAATAGCTATTTTCGACCGATAAAGAAATTTGAGCAAATATTAATTACTTGTTTTAATAAAAACCTAGGTCCCATAGAGTCCATTTCTCAAATTTATTGGCTTTTTCTGCTCAACATGAAGTTTCAGTAAAAATATATTACTTATTATAGCCAACGCGCGTTGAGGATTCGGCTTATATAGTCGAAGGTGTGGACATTCAGGAGGCCAGAAACACCTGTCTGCTGTTCTCGCCCAAGGATTCTTCGCTTTCGAGCGGAGCTTTGGCTAATATTTTGGCCATTTTCAAGAAGCATGATATCAACCTTGTTCACATTGAGTCGCGATCCTCGCTGCGAGTGCCTGGTTACGAGTTTTTCGTAGAGGCCGATGGAAAGTCTGGGGCTTTGGGCAGGGCAATCGAGGATGTGAAGGAGCAGTGCAGCTATTTCAACATCATTTCGCGTGACTACAAGGACAATGCCACGGCGGTGCCCTGGTTCCCACGGCGTATACGCGATCTGGATCGTTTCGCCAATCAGATTCTGAGCTATGGCTCCGAACTGGATTCCGATCATCCTGGATTTACCGATCCGGAGTACCGCAAGCGTCGCAAGTACTTTGCCGATATTGCATACAACTACAAGCATGGTGAGCCTCTGCCCCATGTGGACTACACGAAGGAGGAGATCGAGACCTGGGGCATCATCTTCAGGAATCTTACGAAGCTCTACAAGACCCACGCCTGTCGCGAATACAATCACGTCTTTCCTTTGCTGGTGGACAACTGTGGCTTCCGGGAAGATAATATTCCCCAGCTGGAGGATGTATCCAACTTTTTGAGAGGTGCGCTTACTTAAATGCCATTAAGGCGGTAACGTTTTAATAAATTATCATTTTTCTTTGCAGACTGCACTGGTTTCACTCTGCGTCCCGTGGCCGGACTACTTAGCTCTCGGGATTTCCTGGCCGGCTTGGCCTTCCGCGTCTTTCATTCCACCCAGTACATCCGGCATCCCAGCAAGCCCATGTACACCCCGGAGCCAGATGTCTGCCACGAGCTGATGGGTCATGTTCCACTCTTCGCAGATCCAGCTTTTGCTCAGTTCAGCCAGGAGATTGGATTGGCTTCCTTGGGAGCACCCGATGATTATATTGAGAAGCTGTCCACTGTAAGTTGTCCTCTTGTGCCAACAGTATTTTGCAAAGCATGCTATGCTATGCACTCCCTATGTAATCCTTCGACTATAATATCTGGCCCCTTTCAGATCTTCTGGTTCACTGTCGAGTATGGATTGTGCCGCCAGGACGGTGAGCTGAAAGCCTATGGAGCTGGTCTTCTGTCCTCCTATGGTGAACTGGAATATTGCCTCACGGATAAGCCACAGCTGAAGGACTTTGAACCGGAGGTCACTGGCATCACTAAATATCCAATTACGCAGTTCCAGCCCCTATACTACGTATCCGATAGTTTTGAAACTGCCAAGGAGAAGACCATGTAAGGAACTAGATATACAAGTTGCTAACGAAACCTCACGCCTAACTACCTTTCAGTAAATTTGCCAACTCGATTCCGCGTCCATTTGGTGTCCGCTACAATGCATATACCCAGAGTGTTGAGGTTCTCGATTCAAAGCCTCAGATTTCGAATCTGATGAACAACATCAACTCCGAGTTCCAGATTCTCCAGAATGCCATTGTCAAGCTGCGCGTGTGAATTGAATCCCGATCATTTTTATAACTTCATCTCTTTGTATATTATTAAGAACGCTTTGAATAATAAATTTGCTTTATTACAACTCAGAATGGTTCGATATTTTAATTTGATTTGATCAGCTTTTAAGTTTGTTTTTTTTTGCTCTAGCATTGACAAAACCAACCATAAATATTAAAAATCTTGAAATATTACAATACAATTACTAGCAAACAAAAAAGATTCCTGAAATTCCAAAAATTCGAAACAAAATTCCAACCTTGATATCTTGTTAACATAATCAAACATCTCTCATCAAAAAAATATAACACAATTTCAACAGCACTTCGTATTATATTAAAAAATATATTTTTGTTTTAAAAATAGACGTCTGTCTTACTATTTTATTCCACATATTTATACCCTTGCTACTGTAACAAAAAAAATTCTATAAAACAACCATGAATTGATTTTTATTGGAAGGCTGATTAAATAAATGTCAACTTTACAGTGTCATAAATGTCTTCTTTAGTTTACGTTGCAATGTTCTGACTGAAATTGTAATACCATGCAAGGGTACCAATATATATTATGTAAATTTCTAAGTAATGGTAATCACAAAGCCGTGAAAATGGCGATGCCAAACTTAGAAACGGATTTGCGCTAACCTGGCATCCAAATAGTCTGAATATTTCATCACTTTTCCAAAACTCTTATAATTCAAAGATATCAACGTTAAGACGGCATTCGTTGGGAGTACATGGACATACTGCCTAATAAACTTGATTGGATCGAGATATGATCCAGATTTTAAATTTAAATTTTTATTTTATGCACGTATTCAAAATACCCTTTAATACTACGACAAACAGGTATAAATATCTTTTATATGATATTTTATTTCTTTTGTATATATTTTGCAACAATTCTCTTTGGCGCCTCAGTCTAGCTGCGACTACTGCTAAAATCAGTGCGTTCTTAACCAAATCAAAATATATCGTAATCAACCATAACATAATCTTATAAGTACCTAATAAAAGGATGTCAAAATAGTTTCTTTTTAATTTAAATTAGGAAGTTTACTGAAGTGAGAGTGAAAAGGTGCGAAGAAGGTGATTTATGGATCAATAAAGAATGTGGTTGGCGAAATATGTTTTAAGCGCGCTGATATGCGTTGCGATTCCAACAGGTAGGAGTGGAAGGAAACCTAATAACACATCTCTAAATAAATACAAAAATATTATAAAAGAAAAAAATTAACAAAAATATTCACAAAAAAAGTCAAACATTAATATATTTTTTAAGAGTCAATGACCTTCAAATATAAAATGAGTCAAGCTAAACGCGACAAACAATTATTAAAGTATACTTTCGGGCACCTCAATAATACGTGCTTTTATATCTTTTCTGCGTACTCTACTTTCTGATCTTTTTTTTTTAAGTACCTATTTATTTTTACAGTGACTTCAAAATCTTTGAAGGATATTCCCGAAGTTTTTCCCCTAATGGACGATGGTTTGGCAGCCATGCTCGACCGAACTTGCGATTGGCTCGCACCTCCAAGGATTAATAATGGTATTGCCACCGTCGCTCTTCGTCGGAATGGAGAAAGACTCTTCCTGGTGGCCAACTATGTCTGCAATGACAACTACGAAACCTTTTATCCCGGTGATAGTGCCATGTTCTGTTCAAACTATAAATGGTTGGGTAACCGACTCAAGTGCATTCGTCGAATTACATATGGTAAAGACGAAGTCAGTAAATCAACACCCGTAGCTAAAGTATTAACTTATAGACCATTTGTTGAACCAACAAGATATTTATAAGTCTTCATTTCAGAACTGTGAGGATAATAATGGCGGTTGTGCCCATATATGCAACCAATCGTCTAACAAATGCGAATGTTATGGGGGTTACTATGTAAATCCCAATGATCCAAGCAGCTGTGAAGGTGGGTGAAAAGATTCCAGGCATATTGATAAATTTTGAAAACAATATTCTCTTGCAGATATCGACGAATGCGAGGAGTCCAATGGGGGTTGCTCACAATTGTGCAACAACTTGCCGGGGGAATTCGTATGCTCCTGTAAAAGTGGTTATGAAATAGATGAATCTGACGGCAAAACTTGTTTGGGTATGTATATATTACATTTCAAATACAAAATTTTATTTCTCACCACGATTCACTCCAGACATTAACGAATGCAAGAATTCCGCTTTGTCGTGGGACTGTGAAGGTGGCTGCGAGAACCTTATAGGTTCCTATCGCTGTCAACAGAGGCCACACTCGTAGCCCCAAATCAGACATTGCCGGAGGACAACGGTGTCTTCTCAGTCACAAAGTGTGCAAGACATCAACGAATGTGAGTTGAAAGATCAAGACCCAAAAACTGGATAACCAAGCGCTACTGTGAACACATTTGTGAGATTACAAAGGGCTTCTTCCGTTGTCACTGTCCTGAAGGCTACAATCTGTTCGAGAGTAAGCAGAGCTGTGCCTTGGCTGGCTTACCTTCTTCTCCAACTCAAAAAACCGAATCACCTGAAACACATGAAACGCCGCAAGCTAACCTTGCAACAGCATCGAAAAACTATTCTCAATATATATAAATCGATTGAAGGCTTGAAAATAAATCTAATAACAAGATTTGTTAAAAAAATTTATTTCCAACGATATTTGCATTTTATTTATTGCACAAATAAGAGTGGAGCAGATGAACATGGCTAGATCGACTCGCCTTTTGATGTTGATGAAGAACGTATAATGTGATCGACTCAGCGTTGACTGAAATTAAAATAAACTCAACACGGGTAAAAAAAACAAAACTCTATAAATATTTCGGACCTTGCTAACCCTTATAATATGAGATTTGCTGATAGCTAAATTGTAGTCATAATTGTTAGGTTGAATATGATAGCAAGTCCATAGCTTAATTGCTGGTTTAACCTAGGTCACATAATGTCAATCTTTCAAATTTTCAACGACGCAAATAGTAATTTTCGACCGATAAAAAATAAAATTACTTATTTTAATAGAAACCTAGGTCACATAGACGGCTATTTTAGACCAAAATGAAATTTCAGTAAGAATATATTATTTATTATAGCCAACGTTGAGGATTCGGCTAATATAGTTGAAGGCTAATATAGTTCAGGAGGCCAGAAGCATCTGTATGGTTAATTCTTAATTCTTTTTATTTTTTTTTGCAGGTTTATTTAGAGATAGAGTGGGTATTGAATTTTCGGTTACGGCAGGTGTTAGGGTCGGGTTTCGATTTGTATAGTTAGTGTCAACTATTTTAAGGCTATCTTTTTATAATTTTAAATCGTGTAAATTTTGTAAGAATATTGAAAGGCCTATATTAACTTTCATATAATTACCAACAGCGGTCAAACAGACCCTGGATTATGCACCCAAGTTCCATCCAAACATGGAGACATCTGCACATTGAAGTGTGATCAAGGCTTTGCACCTCTCGGACGGCTTCAAACATTTTGCATGTTCCCGTGGGGCAGGACCTTCGAAGACGATCTTCATTGCCAGAAGTTGGGCAACCTGCTCCACTCACCACAATGACAATATCCGCAGTATTTGGACTTTTTCGCAGGTATATAACATTATTAAACACTAAGATGGAATATTCTTTTCATTTTTATACCACTTTCATTAAATATTTAAAAATCTGAATTGATTATGTTTAAAGGCGCAAAACCTAAAACTCATCCCCGCCATACAGTTATCAGATATGAGCCCCAATTTTTTAGAGTTCAGACAGAAACGTAGCAGTTATCACAAAACGACTATGCCTATATTACTAAAAACAATAAAGCTATTTCGATTTTGCGCTGCATTTTGCCATCGTTTCTATGGCAGCTATATGATATTATTGTTCTTTTTTGATTTTCCTATATGATATAGTTGTATATATATAGACGGACATGGCTAGATCGACTCCCCTGGTGATGCTGATCAAGAATGTATATACTTTATAGGTTCGGAAATGTCTTCTTCACTGCGTTGCATACTTTTGACTGAAGTTATAATATTCTCTGTCAGGGTATAAAAATAAATTTAAGGGCCCATATTGTGGACCGTTTTTTGCCTAGGTAGGGAAAAAAAGGAAAACAAATGAATATCCACTTTGCTGAAATAATAAATTAATATTATATATCTCTTTAAAAATAAAAACATTTAATGTAAAATTAAACACTTGATTCAAATATATACTTAGATATTTAATATTTTCTAAAATATGACTCACCAAAAGTTACCATATAACTTATCTGATGATTGCTTAACAGTTATCATCTGCTCGGTTCCGGGTGAGAACTGCCCGCCGATGGCAGCAAGTGTCAGGACATCAAGGAGTTAGCAATTCACAATCACTGGTGCCCTGACACTTGACCTTCGGGTGGACACAGATTCCGTCAATTCTGTTGGCATTGTTTCGAACACTTCACACTGTCACTTTTACTGGCTTCCCTTATATTGACATTTTTGGTTCTATTTTTATCAATTTTTTGGCAAAGTTATATTTTTTTTTGTCTTTTTGTACTATGGTTTTACATTTCTTTAAAAAACTTAACTCTTTTTCACTTCTCGTTTCGGTATCCGCCATACGCTTACAAATTGTAATTTCACAACATTTTTTTTCCAATTGTGAAATCGCACTTCAGCACTTTAATTGTCTTTCACTTTATGTTTGGAGCATTCCCAGAAGAGACCCCAAGTAGTAGGAATCGATTCGATACACGAATGATTCATTGAAAAAAAATTTAAAACATACAAGTTTTTATATCTTTTATAAAAATGTAGTCGCCCTGCCCGTGCCTTTCCCAAAGCTCTGCTGATCTAAGATCTAAAATTGGATAGCGTGACCAGTCTGGTGAAATAAATTTTGGTTGAACGTTTGCGAGGCCCTGGCTGAAAAAATTGTAAAATGTAATCTTTTGTCTGTTGGTGGAACAGTGTTTTTTAGATCAAAAATGGACGAAAACACACAACAAAAAAAAAAAAACGAAAAATGGACTTCAAGAAATTAGTGCAGCTTTGAACTTTAAATTATCAAATATTTATCAGTAGATTAAAAAGAACACAACTGTTATATTTGAATTGTACGGTTTTGAATTTCTTTTTTGCACCGGTAAACTTGTCTTGCCGAGGTACTTGAATATATAATTTAAAGCCTTTTCCCTGCAAATATTTTTTTTGAATTTTAAATCCTTTTCAACAAACCGAGCTGAACCGTAGCACTCTCAGTTCTGATGAACTGTAAAAAATGCGGTCACATGAAAAAGACTAAAGAGTTTTCGCTGGCTAACTTGTTTTTCGATCTAGGCTAATAGATCGACGCTCGTGCCGCGGTAAACCCGTTTCTTATCTTATATCAAAAAATTTAATCATTTTTGTTTTGGCAATTTTTGTATAAGAAAGTGAATTCTAAACGAAAAAAAAATTCATTTGGACATACATACATACACCCAGATGTTTTTTTTATGTTCGATTAGTTATCATTATCATATGAAATATTACTACAAATTTAGTAAACAAAAAATGTATTCACTCTTGTTTTGTTAAATACGTTTTTCTTATCATTGTACATAACAAATAATAAGCTGGGAAAATACTTTGCTATTTGAATTTAAAAAGATTACCTAAATACGGCAAAAAAAAAGAAGCACAATCTTCCCAAGTGCAGTGTTCGGTGATTAGAGGGCGTTAGAGTGGGCGTGACAACATTTTGAACTAGAACCAAATCTCTAGCTCTTATAGTTTCCGAGATCTCGACGTTCATACGGACGGACAGGCGGACAGAAATACGGACATGGCTTAATCGAGTCGGCTATTAAGAATATAACTTTATGGGGTGGGAATCCCTTCCTTCAACCTGTTACATACTTTCCAACGAATACAAAATAAGAGACAATTACCCATTTACTCTACGAGTTACGGGTATAACATCATGTGAGTGAACTAAAGAAACAAGTTCAAGTTGTGTTTGAATATAAGAAAATTATTAGTAGAAGGAGAATTACGAATGCACTGTACATCATTTTTAGGGTTTTTGAGTGTCACTGCATTTTTGAAAGAACTTAGCTAGTATTCTGCCATCCTATGGAGAACTGGAATATTTCTTCACGGATAAGCCACAGATAGTTCGGAAACTGCCAAGGAGAAGACCAAGTAAAGAATTAGAAATAATCGTTGCTTGTGAAACTCTTAAATACTTAACTACCTTTTAATCATTTTCCAGTTTGTTGCCGCGTCCATTTGGTGCCTATACCCAGAGTTTAAGCGTTCTCGATTCAAAGCCTCGAATCGAATCTGAAGATTACTTGCTCCCTTTGCATATTATTAAAAACGCTTTGAATAATAAATACCACGAGAATTAGTCGTTTTTGTTTGCTTTATTACAGCTTTGTTTGGTTCGATATTTTTGTTTAATTTGATAGCTAGTTCAGTTTGATTTTGAGAGCTTGTTTGGAAAAACATAAAAACATTTAGTTATTTACAATAAAGTTGTAGCTTATCATCTTCGTACGCGTATTTACAGGCTTAAGAAGTTCTCCCGACTTGTCCTATAGGTATGTACAGAGCTTAAACACTGAGCTAATTATAGTTATTAAGGTAGTTTTAGTTGGGCTAAAGTTAGTTTGTTTCCTTTTGCAAGTTCTAAGTTTAAAGCATTTGGCTCTTTATCAGCTGAAGATCGAAACATATTCGAACGAAGTTTTCCAACAGAAAAATAGTAATACAGGGAATTGGTGGAATAAAGATTGAACTAGTGGTATTTCATCTGTCGGAAAAGATCGGGCCTGAAGATAACTTATGGGAATATGTTCACAGCAAATTAAATGTCAGTTGCAATCTCAACCTGAGTTTTGAATTGTACATATACCTATCCTATGCGCATACAGAATAATCACTTAATCGTATGATAAATATCTTGTTTGACCTCAATGGCGAAGCCCAGTCTTGAAAATAATATGGAATTGGATTAGCTTTGCTCAACTCGCTTGTTTGTTGGTCGCTTCTCGGTATACTTAAATACAACAAACAGCTAAGGATTAGGCTTTAAGGTTCGATTACGTATCAGAGATCCCTGTTTGCGCCCCGATGGCACTTACTGGATAAGGCTAACTTATGGAAACATAAACTTACAAACTAAACATAACATTACAACAGTGTAAAACCTACTTACAGCGGAATATTTTGAGAACTTTGCTATACCTAGTTAATATACAACTCACGAATCAGGGCTAGAACAATACTCAGTCTGTCGAGATCTACAACTAGTTCTGGGTTTCGAATGGATAAGGTTCGATAAAGAGAGCCAGAGGCCAAACTTGATTAGGATCTAGGATCTTACACACGGCTGAATGATCCAACCGCAAACGAGGGTTATTTACATTGGGATCTGCTATTGACTACTGCCTGGGGCTGTGTGAGGCGAGTTGAATAGATTCTGCGATTGCTCTTGGGACATCTGGTAGGGCAGTATTTCCAGATCGTTTGGCAACTGATTTTGGTTCTGATTCTGACTGTTGCTGAGGAAGGGATTCGCGCTGAAGAAATTGTTTGACTGCTGTTGATGTTGCTGCAGGATTTGCTGCTGCTGATGTTGCTGTTGCTGCTGCTGTTGCTGCTGCTGCATTTGCGTGGTGCTGGAACTGTGCATCATCTTGTTGTCCTCGCTCTGCGTTTCGGAGCCATCATCGCTGATGCCCATGTGAAAGTTGATCGAAGGACTCGATTCGGTGGCCATTTGCATGTAGGACAACAGCGAGTCCTCGTTGTTATTTTGTGGTGGATTCGTACTGCCGTTGTTGTTGTTCTGGTTGCCGTTGTTCAGATTGCTGCCACCATTATAGCTTTGATTGTTGTTATTGCTGCTGGAGTTGAAGGGATTAATTGTGGACTGCGAGCCCAGGGATTGCAGGGGTGACAGATTGAGAAAGGCATCAATATCGTCGATATCCTCACGCAGCAAAATATCATTTTGTTGCTGCAATTGCAACTGTTGCTGCTGCTGCTGCTGTTGCTGCTGTTGCTGCTGTTGTTGCTGCTGCTGCTGCTGTTGCTGCTGTTGATTATGTTGCTGCAGTTGCGTGTGACTCTGATGTTGCTGCTGCAAATTGTGTTGGTGCTGCGTGTGCAGATTCTGCTGCTGCTGCATCATCATCTGCTGATCCTGTTGGTTCAGCATCTGTTCCGAATTCAAAGCGAATCCATACTGATTGAACTGCGGCTGCACTGCATTGCTGCCGGTGAAGTTTAGTGCCCGCTGACCTCCTGCCATCGATCCCACCGCCGCGGCCGCCATGTTGCCCGGTGCGAATCCCATCGACATCATGGGCTGCAGGTATGTGTAGCGGGAGAGGAGCAGTTGCTCCGAGACGATCCTCAGCTCGTTCTGCTGCTGCAGGATCAGCTTCTGCAGTTCGTCGTGCTTCCGCTGCAGCTGATCCTGCAACTGACTCTGCGTGGGCGTCATCACCACGGTTTCGGGCAGCAGATCCTGCTGTGCCTGCACCGGAATCGGCGATAGGACAGGTGCCACCGGAAACGGAGCGATCACCGGTTGCATGGGTATGGCGGTGAGATATTGCGGTGGCTCCAGGAAAGTGGGTGCCACCAATTGGGGACTTGCCAGTGGATAGGCGGGCTGGGGAAACTGACAGGCACTGCCGGCCATGATCTGCGTGGGGGCAATCGGCAGGAGGGGCACCATTTTCGGAGCACCCACACCCACACCAACACCCACACCCACTGAGTGCTGCAATTGCTGTTGCAGTTGCAGCTGCTGGTGATGCTGCTGGTGTTGCTGCTGCAAGCTCTGATGCTGTTGCTGCTGGTGATGATGCGACTGACTGTGATGGTGCTCGCGGTGGTGCTCACGGTGATGCGATCGCTGTCGCTGGCTTTGCTAAGGAGATAACAGCAGGTTAGTTATACGGAATGTATTTGGAAAATAATTTGATGATCGAAAGGGTGACCAACTCGTTAGGACCACAAAGTAATTGTAAATTTCACATTGCCCATATGGACCGAAAAATAAGGTGAGCAATTCTACATATCTCATATATAATTAATCTTAAATTACACATGATTCAAAGTTTTCTTTGACAATTGTCTAAATATGGAATCACCAAAAGTTATCATATCATGACAGTTATCATCTGTCCCGGTTGTAAACTATCCGCCAATGGTAGCAAGTGTCAGGACATCAAGGAGTTAGCAATTCAGAATCACTGATGTCCTGGCACTTGACCATCCGGTGGACATCCGACAATTCCGTCGGCATTGTTTTGAGCACTTCACACTGTAATTTTTATTAGCTTTACTTCTATTGACGTTTTTTGGCTCAAATTTTTTATAAAGTTTTCGATTTTTGTTCCAAAAGATTTTATATTAAAGTGATTTTTGCATAGTTTAATTTTTTTTTGTAAAGGTTACGCTAAAAAGATGAAAAAATTGTTTTAAAAAAAATGTGTTTCAGTTGCCAATGCGCTCTGAAATAGCTTATGACAGTGCAAAAATCGGCTGGGATACAGATACATATATGGTCCAAAACCATACCAAAAATAACCTTCCATTAACGAGTTCTTTAAAAGACACAATTCATTTGAATTTCAAATATATTTTTAATTTATTTTAAGGTTTGACTAATCATCTTACAAAAGCAAATATATCCCGTTTCATCGGGTTTCTTCTTTCGGTTCGGCTGCCGTAGCACTGTGAAGTTGGAACTACTTTCAACTAATACTATTAATTTAATTTAATTTTTTTTTTTAAAAACCTTCGATCGGAAACTTTTTTTTCGTGTCCGCCAGAGTTGAATTAGCTTCAATCAGTTAAAAACGTTCTACGGATACACATAATTGACCACACCCTTATATTCAGAATTTCTTAAAAATGTCTTCTATTTAATCAGCAGTGACCAAATTATTTATAGCAAGCTCACTCTTTATATGTATATGTTTATATACAGTGATAAACTTAAGTATTGGTACAGCAAGCATGTTGACCTTTCAGACTGTTTTTATTTATCTAATGTTGTTATTTAAATTAAACAAAATATTTTAATTATTCATTTATGAATAATTTATTAAAGTTGAAAAACAAAAAAATAGACAAAATGCCCCCGAACAATATACTTGCTGTGGCAATAATAATGTCCGTTACTGTATACATGCCAAAACACTTTTCGATGCTAAACGTTATTCGAAGTCATTTTGCAATATTGCGTGAGTACCAGATGGTCACGGTTTCCAGTAAAAATAATCTCGTCCTATTTAGTCATTTCCCACTAAATGAAATGGAAACGGAAACGGTCAATCATCCCAAGATAAATCCGCGGCCGCTTTGATCAAAACAATACAAAAACCACTTGGCACTAATTAATTAACGAACATGTTTATTATACATAGCTTTTGGCTGCCAAATATTCGTTTCCGAAACGGTTTCTTCTTGTCCCAAAACACATACATATGTATTTCACAATTTGGTTTTGCTCCAACCAATTAAAAACCTTGTAAAAAACCATTTCATTAAATTCACAATTTCATAAGAACGCGGTATTTATAATCGTTAAATTAAGGAAATCTTTAAAGTTATTCTATTGCATTAAAAGAAAAAAATTCAATTTTTGTATATATTTTAATTATGTTTTATTTAAGTAACGCGGTCGATTTAAGGTTGATAAACTTCGATTTCTCTTTTTAAAACGCGCCGTTTTCTTCGAAAGCTACGGCCAGACTAAAGAGGCAGCGAAAATTTAGGCAAACATTTGAACAAATAAATATATAACAAAATAAAAAACTCACTTAGTCATTAACAGGAAATCTAATTTCGGCAACCACTGTAGATATAACAAGAAAAGAAAAAATAACTTCGGGCGGAGCCGAAGTTGAAATACCCTTGCAGAATATTCTGTAAATTATATTATCCAAAATTATTCATATGATGCATTCTTAACACTCATAAAAATTCCAACTTCCTAACTTAAAAAAACACCAAAGTTATGGCATTTCCAATTGTTCGGTTATATGGCAGCTATAGAATATAGTTGGCCGATCCTTATGAAATTTGATTTGTCGGATTGATTGGCCAAAAATAAAACCCATAGAAAATCCCAACTTCCTAACTTAACAACCAGCAAAGTTATGGCATTTCCGATCAATCAGTTGTATGGCGGCTATAGGATATAGTCGGCCGATCCTTATAAAATTGCAAGGGTATAAAAATATAATAATGTAGTATTTAATAATAATATTTATATAAAATGACAAATGTGTTTAGAAACGGATGGGCAGACGGACAGAAGGATATGGCAATATCGATTTACCTTGTGAAGAACCTATTAAGGCTCTAAACAAATATGTTGAATCAATATAGAATATATATAGATGCTCGATACGCAGAGTATTCCGCAGTCAACACACTATTTGACAACTTTCGCCGTGCAATTCAGATACACAAATAACACCCTCAGGAAAACGGACACTCTCCATCTCTCTCTCACTAATGCCCTCATAGGACAGCCCTAGATATTGCTCGAGGCAATAAATTATTTAAAAAACATAATTAGTTGATATTTTTGTTTTATTTAGAAATAACAAGAAAGGAAAGCTAACTTCGGGCGGAGCCGAAGTGGATATACCCTTGCAGAATATTCTGTAAATTATATTCTCAAAAACTATTCATATGATGCATTCTTAATACTCATACTTCTTTTAAATTTGACATATCTACCCTTTTCACCCTCTTTTATAATGCAAGGGAGTGATAGTAACGGTCATAGAATTAATTCTATAGGATATAGTCGGCCGACCCTTATAAAATTTGGTAGGTCGGATTTATTGGCCAAATAAAAAACCCATAGAAAATCCCAACATCCTAACAATATAAAACACCAAGTTATGGCATTTCCGATCAATCATTTATATGGTGGCTATAGGATATATATACTGCGTGTAAGGGAACGAAGGGTGTGTGCAAAGTTTCTATTCGATATCTTTAAAACGCAAATTAGTCCCTCAGTTTTAAATTTATCTGCTTGAAACTTTCCCAAAAGTTGTCTTTCTATAAGACGCAACGAGCCGGATCTGGCGACTATATCATATAGCTCCCATAGGAACAATCGAAAAAAAAAATCGGACATGGCTAGATCGACTCTCCTGGTGATGCTTATCAAGAATATATATACAGTTTAGGGTATGTCTCCTTCACTGCGTTGCAAACTTTTGATTGAAATTACAATACCCTCTGCACGGGTATAACAAAGATCACTTACCTAGTTTTTGACTTCCCTCGTAACAATTGCTTTAATTATTTTGAAACGTAAAATATTTACAATACTTGAAATAAAAAATCCTTAACTTTGTCCAAAAATTATGGACTTTTTGTAAATCTTTTCTTTGGACTATTTGCCAAAAGCGTAACAGAAAATAGTACAACATTTTTTGGCTCTTTAACAGTAATCCCAACGACGGCGGTAGTCCCAGTAATCCCAATCCGTGTTTTTATTTTAATCATCGAACAGGGCGGATAGCAACGCAGGATCGAATTCACTCTTCACTTATCGCGTTCTAAAGCTAATTAAACTTGCGATCGACAGTGGCCTTGCTTGTAGCTGGCACTAGAGCCATTTCAGATGGTTGAACAAAAATAAGAAGCTTTATAGTCAGCTAGAACCTCGGCTAGGAAAGAGGTGCGAAGCAACAGCAAAAGTGGTGAAGGTACGCGCACCTACCGTTATCAATTTTATTCACCACGGGCGATTCCATGATCGTCAGCATATTCCGTCTTCATGACTCATACTTAAACATACGACATTTTAAAGCACGTACAAATGGCGTTAATGCTGGACGCTTGACTCACAGACTTAACTCATGCTACAACAAGAAAATAAGCTAACTTCGGCAAGCCGAAGTTTATATACCCTTGCAGTTATTACAAAGCGACTACATTTCGATTTCTATGCCTATATTACTAAAAACAATTTGAAATTGTTGTCCAATTTTATTTTAATTATTTGTTGAAGTATCTCTTTACATTCTACATATCTCATATGTATATAATTAATCTTAAATTAAACACGAGATTCAAAGTTTTCATTGACAATTGTCTAAATATTGACTCTCCAAAAGTTATCATATTACTAACCAATTATCATGACAGTTATCATCTGTTCGGTTCTGGGTGTAAACTATCCGCCGATGGTAGCAAGTGTCAGGACATCAAGGAGTTAGCAATTCAGAATCCCTGATGTCCTGGCACTTGACCATCCGGTGGACACAGATTCCGTCAATTCTCTCGGCATTGTTGTTCTCTTCTATTGACTTTTTTTGGCTCAAATTTGATATAAAATTTTCTGTTTCGGCTTGCCGAAGTTCCATGTTCAAACTAAAATGTGGTACACAAATGTAGGTGAATGTTTTACAATAATTACCCTTTCGATCTTTCGGTCTTTTAAATGTAACTTCCTATACTTACCGAACTGACGTGGGTCAACATGGACTGCCGGCTGGTGACCGAATCCGCGGAAATGGAAGTGGAGTCCGAGTCGTTGCCCCGATTATTGTAGAAGTAACACTTTCGCTTGGCCTTCGGTGATATACCCGTGGAGCTGATGTTGCCGTAGCTCGAGGCGGGTCGCGATGTCTTCAGAGAACTAATGTGGCAGGAACCAGAGGGCTGAGCAGCCGATGCGGACCACATGGGCGATGAGTCCACGGCGGGCGATGTGGCCGTCGTTTCGTTTCCCAGATTGGCCAGACTATTCCCCAGCAAAGTGCTATCCAGATTTTGGTTGCTCAGCTCGAAATCCCTTAGTGTTGTGGTGGCAGATGCGGATTGGCTGCTATTTGCCGTTGAGGCGATAGCCTTGGCGGTCCCATTGTTGTTGTTGCTGCTGCTGCTGTTCCCGGATTTTTGGCCCTCCTTTCGACTCTCCTTGAGAACCTCCGCATAGCTGACCACCTTGTGGGTGCAGACCACATAGTCCGGCTTGGAATTGAACTGGTGGTAGCTCACGTAGTAGTCCGTTTGCAGCCAGATCCACTGTTGGCCCTTGGTGAGGAATCGGTAGTAGCAGGATTTGCCCTCCCCCGTCTGGCGAACTATTGGGAGGGATGTAAATATCATAATAAAGCGGTGAACAAATCCTAACCTCTTAAAAGCAAATATAATCTGAGGAGCTCAAGGCCATAAAACCCTTTTTTTTAAAGTCCTTTTTCCAGGTATTAAGCTTTTTTGTAAGGTCTTCTTTAATTAGTTTCAACTCTTTTTTTGACATAATTATTTATATTAGTTTCTATGTCCCACTTGGCTTCTTTAGCGTCATGAAAAATGGCAATCCATCATTTTTGGAGTGTTTCAAAAAATATTTTGGCATCTGTTTTCTTTATTAATTTACATATAACTTTGCAACTTACGCTCTTCGTGGCAAGCCACAATGCTGTCCAAATCATCAAAATGGTAGTAATCGTAGCCAGAAGTGCCCAGGACCTCGAACGGCATGTAACCAATAATCGGCGGCGCCCGGTGATCCAAGAACAGGAACTTCCACTCCATGCTGTGCTTCGAGGTGAATTCGTTACTAGTGGGATCGATGATGCTCATTTCGCGGATCAATTGGGGATTCTGGACGCGTCCGGTGCCCACGAAAACCAGTTTCTTGTCCACCTCGGCATTGGGATTCTGCTGGAAGATGCGCGGCAGCACGGCGGGTTGTCCATTGGAACCATTCGAGCCCTCCGAACTGCAACCCGCGGAGGTATTGGTATCATTACCTAAAGGATAAGCATCAGTGGAGGTGACCGAAACTTTCTGCACGGCTACCTACGAAAGTAACCCACAAATTTGACCAGTTCGTAGGCATTCGCATCCACTTTCTCCAATCCGCCCCTTCTCAAATGGGTGTAGAATGTGATCTGGTTGCTGGAACTAATATCCGTCTGTCGGGGCTCGATAACCGGTGTGGGATTCATAAAGATGTTTAGCAGTGCCTCGTGGTCCATTTCGTAGGCCAGGTCATATATGGTCATGTTGTACAGATCTTGCTGGAATACGATAAAGTTATATGAAATGCAAGGTTCCATAAAAAACAATAAGCTAGTTATTTATTTGCTGGCACTTAGCATTACCCTTTAATTTATTTTAACGTCCAAAACAAGTATAACTAAAACATTAAATATTGATAAATTTTCATAAGTCCACAGCTCCAACATTATTCATTTCATATCTCGATATTAATTTGTTAATCGATCTCCATAAATAGGTTATTCCATAGATCGAGCATTATCAATTTATTATTTGGAATTTTTGGAATACGCAAACCATAATCTTTGAGTGCAAAGTGAAAAATTGTGAGACACTCATTTAAGTAATAAATTAAAAAGAAAGAACTACAAATTTCGAAAACGTTTTGAGGTTGGAAATATTAATTTGGTGTAAGTGAGGTGGGGTTGTCGGCATAAATAATCTTTAGAACTTTCTCATAAATAGGCCTTGCCGTGGCATCAACTCTGTGCCTCCGAAAGAGAACTTCAATGTCACGTAGTTTTTTGAAGTAGAAATCTCGTTCCCTTTCCATATCCTTTATTTCTTCGGGACCGTTCTCGAGTTGCTGAGAAAGTAGCGAGAATTCCTCCTTGATTTCCGTATTGGCCTCCACGGGATCAAAAGTGGTGGAGGACCTTTCCGGGGTTTGACATCGAGGCGTGGACTTGGGCGAGGATTTCTGACCTTTAGGCCCGAAATGACTTGCTCCGAAACCCATGGTGACTCCATTCCGGGCGGCCACTGGATCGTAGGCTCGGCCATCGTAGTTGGCATCGAAGAACTTGCGGAACCATTGGAGGAACTCAAAGTTATCCTGAAAGCGTCCCTTGATCAGCTTGTCGATGGGAACGACCTTATCCACTGACACTTTCTTGAAGCCCGCCTGCAGGATCTTGAAATTGTGTAGGTGCTCGTGCTCCTGATTTGTGCGAAACTTGATGCGCTTGATCGGCATCGAGTTGGGGAACATCATGTCCATGAATTGACAGTATGCCGCTCCGGTGCACAGCTCCTCGATCTTCGCAAACTGGGCCTTCAAAGTGTTATTTACCCAGGATAGCATTTCGTAACGCGAGGGATTGTCCGATGTCACGTTTGTGGAATGGACGTTAACTGCCCTTTTAATTTTTGAAGCCATCATTTACAAGAAATTTGTTTTGCTGTTGTTTAAGAATTCTGGTTTGATAATGAATTGACTGGCTCGAACGATTTATTCCCCTCGGCCTGCTATTTTTAGGTTTTAAAGTTTGGTGGTTGGGTAGTTCTATCAAATCAATATAAATAACAAAATTGGGTCTTATTGGGGAACCTAAAGATCTTAATAACCAGCAGATTTGAAAATCGTTGAAATGTAGAAGAACTTTCAATGTTGTTTTAATTGACCCATAATAAAGCTAAAAAACGCACAAAAAATGTGAATGTTTGTACAACTTAAGGCTTTAAATTAGTCGAATCCTTAGGCTATTTGGCTATAGCAGTTTCATTTTAATTGGCTTGACTAATTTAGATTAAAATTTGTACTCACCGGCAGGTATCCCAGCTGGGAGGTAATACTTTCCGAGGCATAGAAGATGGAGCCCATGCTGCTGAAGACCATCATGAAGCCATCCAAAGACTCGAGCATCAGGTGGGTGTACTCATCGTTGCTCAGAAACGTGGGCTTCCAGTCTTGATGTATCTCGAACACCTTCGAGCGATCGGTGGCCTCTGATAATATACATTTTAAGTTAAAAATGCGCAGAGTTAAAACATTGTTCTCGCACCATTATGATTTTTGAGGAAGGCTATCGTGGACTTCAGGACCGTGGACTTGTCCATCTTTCTGCTGGAGGTGGATATCAAGGCGCTCAGATCGTTGACCAGTGAGTTGAACTGGTCCCGCCGCTTCTTCTCGCTGAGATTTCGCGATTTTCTGCAAAGGAAGCTATGAATTAAACATAATCAATAGGATGCATTTACGGTTAGCAACGTCATACTTTCACTACTTCATATATTCATATTTCATAATAAATTGGGTTTACCACCCCCAAAACGAGTGGGTGACCCACGTGTGTTCGACCCACAGAGGCATTGTCTGGCGTTGATTAGCCACATATGCCCATATGCTATCAGCATCCCGGATTTTTCTAAGGACTTCGAAGGGTTGTGGGTCCTTTGTCGCTTTGAATTTGCTGCGCAAGAGTTAACTTTCTCTGCTCTGCCATTGACATCTGTATGTCACTGGCTGGTTGATGAGCGGAGTCTTTGGGATTATTGCTATTGTCAGTTTATTCGACTACGATATGGCAGTTGATGACCAGCAATGTGTTTAGAGTTAATTGGAGGGCAATGAGCTGGAAGTATATATTACCGACTCAATACGGTGATTTGCATAGAACATTTTCGAATGGAAATGCAGTTATTTAACTTCACTGCAGGAACCAATAGTGGAACAAAATCTACAGCAACATATACCTTTTAAATAGTCGCACTAAGCTTTAACATTTTAAATTTGGATTTTTATATAATAGTTTAAATTAAAGGAAAGCTGGAGTCTCTGTTTAAATAAGCCTTTAAAATAGGGCAGTTGAAAATAGTGGAGCAATAATAGTTGGTGCTCCAGGACCTAATTAAAAAAAAGCGCGATATTTTATTTAAGATTCACCTCAAAACAACAACAGTTCAGTTAATTAGATTAGAATTAATAGATTAGATTAATAGATTAAAAACTTTAAATTTTGAAAAAAATGCATTCTGTATTACTGAATTATTTTTAAGTTTGTTCAATCTCAAAAAGCACAAGGTTTTCTAAAGAATATATTATATTATAAGGAATTTAGGAATTTCCTATTCCAAAATAAATTGTTTAATATGTTTACCAATTGCTTCCCTCAGCGCTGAAAAATCTTAACTGCATTTTATTTAAATTAGAATAACAAAAAACTTTAAAAAATAAACAAAATTATATCTTAGATCTCAAGATTGGTATACAACTAACAAAACTATATTGAGAAAAGGTTATTAAATTGATTTGTTACCATATACAGTGAAACTATTCTTGCCATTCTTCCTTTTGCACATTTGGTTTGGCAAAGTCAAATCCAAAAAACAATCTAATTATCGTATTTTTTATAAAGATGTCTTATTTATCAAAACATAAATAACTTTCCTTTTCCCATTCTTTCCCATTTTATTTTCAAATAATTAAATAATTATTAAATATTTAATACATTTGTATTCAGTTGTGTAAATAAAGCATTTAAGCCGTCGCGTCTGATTTAAACAAAATATTAGTTGTCACAAATTTAAGTTAAAATTTTAATATAAATTAAAATTGTTAAATTTAAACTATGTATTTTATTTTTGGGTGTAGAACTGAATAGGTTTACACATGATTCGGTATATGTTAACGATATTATGTTATGCATAAGAGTACCTAAATAAAAATTTATTAAGTTATTTAGCTGAGATATACATGTGGCCTGTTGTGTCCTGAGTGTCCTGTTGTGTCTTATCCAAATATTAATTTAAGCAATAAATTAAATAAAACCAAATGCCCGATCGTTTCCACCCATGTTTTAATAATAGTTGTTTCTCCTCAATCTGGATATCCGATAATTGATTTCTTATTTTTATTGCCAGCATGCTTTTACTTTTAGCTACTTTCGGTTATGAGGGTGCGGCATTATTAGGCCAGGTGAAAGTAATTATTGCATGACCTAATCGAATTCACACTCAGATTACAGTTCATTTAAGATGGCCGTAGTAAAAACGGATCAAAGGTTTAAGTTACCACGGCATTGGTTTTCATTGATTGTATCGGGGGGTGTGAATTATTGGTATGGTCTGGGGATACCTCGGATTTTATGACGACAGCAGTCGTTTCTTAGGACAGTCATTCATCAGAAAAATACTAAACAAAGGGGGACAATCCACCTTCACCTAGTGGAAAATTTACCAAAACGCCATAGACACGTCTTTTACTTTTGTTTTACTTCTTGTCAACTGTCACTGGCAGATTGTCCACGGATTGTGTTATCTATTTATGAATAGCTACGAATCCATGAGTATGGGTGTTGAATGGGATATGAACTTACCTTTTCGTATCATCCTTGTCATCGCTCTCGTCGTCCATTTTCGGGTCTGTCGGATAATCCACTTCGAACTGCACAATTTTTAAAAAAGAGGCAAACCGAAGAAAGTTCAAAACTTTAAACTTCGCTTGACGACTTGCTCACAAATGCCACAAATAATTTACACGCTCACATAATTTTGTTCATATGTGCTTTTGGTTTTTGGTTAAAAAGTTCAAGTAATGTTCACGCAACAATTGATTTCCATATGCTCAATATGCCACATTTTGAATAACTGCAAGGGGTCACAGAACTGATTAGTTTACTTTCGTTGAGTTAGGCTAAGGTATTTTATTTTTCCCGTCGCGTTTTCGATTCGAAATATTGGCCAAACGCCGCGCTCTGTCAGCAACAAGTGCAGTTGTGGTTCTGTTTCGGCTTTCCTGGCTGCCAGCATCCTCTTCGAATCGCTTTCGTGGTGTTATGTAATCGCATAAGCTGCGCCTGCGCAGGATCCCCAAGTGGAGGCCCCGTGGCCAATTTGCCAGTTGGCCGTGCCAATCAATGTTGCACATTTGCAACCCCTGAAATGTATGCTACGCTATTTTGTCATGTTACAAAATGCGTTCGGCGAATGCCATAACAACCACTCGGTGGTTGGAGTGAGTGGGTGGTTGGGCTGGGCCGGGTGGTTGAGTGGTTGAGTGGCGGAGAGTGTGAGTAGAGCAGCTGCTAACCAATTGCCTGGCTCTAACTGCAGTCGACCTTAGCCTGCGGATGCTCCCCTTTTTTCCCAGCTATAAATAAGCTTCCATGCATGCTTCGATTGCATAATTCTCTGTGTTTACTTGACTTTCTATTGATTTCTTTTTATCCCATTTACCTCCCAATCATTTCCTGCACCTGAAGTCATTTTCTTTCACACCCGCAAAATTATTCCCTGTTAATTGACGGTCCAGCACTTAAAGGGCTTCGGCGAAAAGCAATTTCTTGCCGAACAACAACTTGAAAACTTTTGAGCAAATGTCAAAGGTTTTGCAAGCCTGTTAAATGCATTCGCCCGATGGAATGGGTTGAAAACTCGATTCCCAGAGCTCAGTGACGTTGGAGTTGAGCCCATTTAAAGCTGGTACATTGACGAAAAATCAGTGTTTAATTAAAATGTGCAAAGCAGCTTAAAATTACACAGCTTTACATCTGCCATGGCAGTTGTAATTAATCCGTTTAGCTCCGTTTGACCAGGGACCCAAAGCGCAGCTCATAATTTCCCACATGTATACGCGGAGGATATGATTTTAAATACACATCAAAGGCGGCACACTGCCCGTTCCTTTGGCCAAGTGTTGCTGGTTAACCGTAAGTAGCTGTTGGCCAAAACCCAGACTTGAAATGATGCCAGATAATTGCCAATGACTCGCTTAATGGCTCGTGTTGCAATTAGTGCGGTTGGTTTGGCTTGTCGCAGAGTGAAAAAACACAGAGAAAAGGGTTAAGATAGAGACACATGGAGAAGGTGTCAGGTATTATTATTGAATGGGTTAGCATTACCCCAAGGAATGTGGTCCAATTACAACATTGCTTACTCAATTATAAACTTTGGAATTATTGGGTTAATCCATTAAATTCTGTGAAAAGTTAAACCTTTTTTTTATGTACAGCATAATAATAACATCGCTTAATTGAATGATTCCAGGTTAAGCTAAAAATAATTTAAAGCTCTTTGACTTGAAGATGTTATTCAATTATAAACTCTGGAATTATTCGGTTATTCCATTAAATTCTGACAAAAGTTAAACCTTTTCTTTTGTGTACAATACCTGCATTATCATCTGCACAAATAACATCTCTTAATTCAATTATTCCAGGTTAAGCATAAATAATTAAAAGCTCTTTGACTTGAAGAAGTTAGACTATAAATCACTTTCTAAAATGAAACCCGATTAAAATTAAATCTCTATTAATAACAATCCGAAAGAGTGCTCTTTGAGTTTCTTAATTAAGATTCAAAATTCTCTTCTAAAAAGCATATAATTGCTTCATAATAAATCAGTTTTTAAGTGGGTTTCCATTGTGAAACTACAAATGTAGATTTAATCACATATTTCGAAATATACTTTGCGATGCGCTGGTAAAAAAAAGTTGTACTTCTACACTTTAGTTTAATCTATTTAGGAAAATTCTATTTTTCATGAACAAATTGAAAGTTTTATGACTTTATGGATCCCTGCGTTTCAGCGGTAAAAAATCGAATATAATGATTGCAAAATTCAACTGACCCAATTTTTTGCAATAGTCAAATTTAGTTATCTACAAAATGACATGAACAAGTAAAAGCAATAGGTAAATCAATCTCTCAGAATTGCCAATCACTTTTTGGCCTTCACCCCAGAAAATTAAACTGCAGCAAACAACTCAAAAACCATCATTAAATCTTATAATGTATGGCAAACTAATGGGAGCCTATCATCTATTACAGATGGAAGCGTTCATAGTAAACATTTGGCATTGACAACATGGCTGGTGATATGTGTTTTGCGGCGTATTTATATGCTTGCAATGCGGAAGCCAGTTGGTTGGAAAAACAGCATACTGAACGGAATGGGTAAAAGCACAGAAAGCCGGTTGGAGTGCAGGCCAATGGCAGGTTTACTCAACCCAGCCGAAGACCGTTGACTGACCTACTCACGAGCGGCGGGAGATATAGTGGCTATATCTCTACCTCTCTCTCTCCGTCCCACTCGCCCCGTCCCGCTCACTTGCACTCTCTAACGCTTGCCGTCTCGCTCTGTCGCATGGCAAAGCGGGGAACTAACGTCATTTGATTGCATTTGTAAAGCTTCGCTCAGTTACAGAAATTATCGCATACTACCGATGTGTTGGTGCCCATATATAAATATATATATATATATATAGATATATATTACACATGTGTGTCGCCCTCTCTTGATTTCTTTGTCAGTGAACTTGAGCTTTTGCGTGGCAATGCTAATTGCATTGCGATTACAGCATAGTGTCCGTGTGTGAGTGATAATACCCAATACTCATACGACCCGTTGTACAGCCGTTTTTTTCGTCGCCGTTTTCCCTGCTATTTCTCTTTCCGCAAAACTTGTAATACTTTTTGTCTCACTTTTGCGTTTGTTGTTTTAAACTTGACTTAATTAAATTGTTCACTTTTATTTTTATCTTTTGCCGTTCATTGATTTTGTTTTTGTTTTGTTGTGTTCCTTTTCCCTGTATTTCACTTTGACTTGGCTAAAGTATAGATTATTTTAAAAATGATTTCGTGATTAAAGGGTTAAAGGCCTCTATATTTAACCGGTTTTCACGTAAAGAGATGTAATTTTTTTTGGCTAGAATGGCTTACTAAACGGATCTGGGACTAGCCTTTCTAAAACGTTTAACAATCTAATAATAATTCAACAGATGTGATGATCATTTAATCATTAAAAGTCCGCCTGCTCAATACCATCGGTACATCATCACTTCATCTCGACTTGATCATGATTTTTATGTGTTCAATTAAGTCTGGGAATCACCGATGAAATTCTCTAAAATTGGAACGGCTTCACTAAGGTAAAACTTTAATTAATTGGATATGTTAAGGGATTTACAAACTACAAATTCTCTTGCAATTTTAAAGGAATTTTTAATTTCTAGAAAATGGAGTGGGAATCGCCAAGTGGAAAGATCTAACGAATTTACTGGAACTTGTAATAGTTCCAAGCCATTTGAATAAATATTAATTTAATTTGTGAAAAAAAATTATTTTATTCAATTTTAGAATTTAAATTTATACCAATTCCATATATATAATTACAAGTCCAGTGTATTCTGCTTGAGTACCAAAAATACGAAGAAATTGGGCATGTAAAAACCTTCACTTTAACTGAAAACTCTAAACAATAATTATCAAAATTAATATCAAATGAATTTCATTCTTAAAAACCCTTTTTGGAACCGTCTAAAAAACTTTCTATTCTGTTTTCAAAAATATAATTAATTAAATTATTACTTTTTTTGTAGTTGAAAATAATAAAAATAAATAAATTCATAATTTGAACTTGAAGCGTCAGTAGCTGTTAGTCATGAGATACTTCAGCTCTAAATATTGTCTTTCAACGTTAAAAACTACCAGAAGCTTTCTTTAAGTTATCTTTCTTTGTTTCCTACTAGCGAAATTTTGAGCTAAAAAAAATTCCTGGGAAGTTGTCAATCAGTTGCTTATCTCACCGTATCAACAACAACCTATTTGCTCAAACTGAATATGAAGTATACGCTCTGCAAGCCCAAGCGAAAAGGCCTAGAAAGTGCAGCTGACTGCAGTAATTATTTAGTAACATTTCGTAATTGGGCCATTTTATTTGACTATAAACAAACGAAAACGAAGTTAAACCACTTGCAATGTTTAAAACCTTTTTGCATGTCTATATAGTTTTGTAGTTGTCAATTGAAATAACTTTTACTGGGAGCGTGTGCGGCTACTGCATGATCGCACACCACTGCACAAAATGCACACGCGCACTCACACTATCAGTAGCGCACTCACACATGGACAGACTGGCACACACAGATACTCAGGGCAGTCAAACGCTGACGATGACGTTTCAAAAATTAAAAAGACGCCAGATCCGAGACCTGAGACTTGTCAGCCAACAATACAAAAAACAAAAAAAAAATGGAAAAGGGTAGGGTTGAAAGGGTGGCTGGGGAAATACCTAGCTACTTATTTTCATGAAAATTCTTTAGCAGAATGCTACAGAAATGTGAAAATCGTAAAGAAAATAATAAACAAAACTAAAAGCAAAGTTACTAAAAAAAACTTAGTCTTGCGTTTAGCAACAGGGAAAATACTTTAGTAGGTTTATCTTCATAAATGATTTTAGCAATGCAGTAATAACATGTAACCAAAAGGACTGTTTGCAAATTTTTAAAAATATATAGCAACTTCTGATAAATAAAAAATTAAATAGGAATTAGACATATAATAAAACATTTGTCTCTGACACATTTATGTTTGCTCTCCTAAATTAAAGCATCATATTTTAGGATCAACGTATATAAAGGCTAAACATCATTCGCTTAGGCACACATTTACTATTGCCTGCTAATAACTATCTCAAATACTATATACCCATCCCTTTATTGGGCATAAAAGCCGACTTTGACAATGAAAAAATGCAACAATACAACGGCAACAAAAAGTGTAGATTTAAAATAAAATAAATAATATTTTTCAGACATTGCGCAGGCGCAATCATTTGCAAAGCCCAACTGAACCGAACTGCAAATCTATTTAAAAGTTCTCTCTGGCAGATAATTTGCATGTAATTTTTGGTTGAATGCACTTTTGTTTTTAGCGAGAGGTCTCTCCCCTCGTTTTCCCGGTATCTCCGCCTTGGTTTTGCCTTATCGCCTTGTCGCGGCATTTTTCTAACAGTGTTTTTGTCACTGCGGTTGTTTTCCCCATTGTACTTTTCTTTCATTTTGTTTCACTTCACTTTTATGGCGCACACTTCACAATTTGGTCGCAGCTGATTTGTAGGTTTTAACTCTCGGATCTGGCGCACAACTTTGGTAATTAGTAGTTAAATTATTTAAGTATTTAGGTACTTTAGCTTGGCTGCATATATTATTTGTGGATATTATTTCATGTTTTTCGATCTTTTGGATTGCCATAAACTTTATTTTACACATGCTTGCATTTTAAAATAATTTTGTATTATATATTATATATAATTAGCTTTCTTAGACTTCAATATTGCATTTACATTTTATTGCAACATCACTCACTTTTTTTTAAAACTACACTCAAATAAGTGGCTTATAAAAAACGCCCATTTATAATTCCATTATTTATTTCTATCCATATACTCCTATTCGATGGCTTATTCACATCTGCTTTACACTGTATTTCTTTAAGTATTATTTCATATTTTTTCTGTTATAATAGCGCGTGTGTGTAAAACATTTTAAAAGGTTACATAATAACTTTTCCCGTTCTGCTTTGCTTATTTTTTTGTATTTCTCGCCGGCTTGCACTTGGTGACATATATGCAAAAATACAGAAACAGATATCCGATAACAAAAAATCATTTAAGCATTTTCTTCGATCGTCTTAATTCATTATTGTTGATCGTTAAAAAAAATAAGTTATTTTTTGGGCACCATCAGCAGTATGATTAAATGCAGAAAATTTGGCAAAGCGCGAAGGAGGCAAAGGCAACTAAAATTCGAATTCAGACCCAAAACCGAAACAGAACCCAAAAAACGAGCACGTCGAAAGTGTGTTACTTGCGATCGAGTTACAGTCAGAGACAATATTGACGACAGACGGCTTGACTTTGCGTCGGATCTGCTAAATACTTGTGAAATGCAAAGAATAGCTGCACTCTCAAATAACCGGGAGAAAATACGAATAAACCGTGCGAATAAACCCGATTCGGAAAATGAGAGATCCGCTCGTTGACGCTGCGCTAGCTGGACTCAAACTGAATAAATGCACGAGAAATGCAATTTCTAAGCTCGCGAAAATCTACAAACGCAAAAAAAAAAACCCGTGGATAAACGAAAAACTGCGAAATGCATCGAAATGTGAGCGGGTCGCCAGAAGCGTTCTCACCGACACAAAGATACTAAATCGGGCGAGAGAGTGGGTCCACAAGTCTGTTTTACAAGCCGGCCGGGCGTATACGCGATATGTGCGAGCATTCCGAGCGCTACCTGACTGACTGATTGAGCCAGGCCACTCGGGTATTATTTAATATGCACTCGGCCCGGTTCTCCCCACTCAGAACCCACCGTATCACTCAATTGCACCGATCGCGGATCTGAGTCGAGTCTTTATCTACCGCTCCATCGCTCTATCAAACTATCAACACATACAGGGTCGCCAGCGGGGTTCTCCCAGTGGGTCTCTCTCACGTCCACTGGTATCACGATATTCTGTAGTTTTCTTCAACCTTTTTGTTTGTTGTCCGATATTCCGCGTGTTTCTGGTATTCCGTCTGGAGATTAAAGATATAGGGGTCTCTCTTCTGGCAACCCAGGGGTTGAGTCAACGGGTTTTGTTTGTCTACGAATTAAGTTCAAGGTCTGGCGCACTAGTGAGGTCTGGACTATAACTTGCCTTAGGTTGCTTCAGGAAAAATGGCAAAGTTATCAAACTATATTCAAGCTATTGCCTTTTAAATTAACTATGTGTAACAAAAAGGTTTAGAAAAAAAATAATGGACAATATTAATAATCAAGTTTGGTTTAAATAAATAAATAAGAAATACATTAAGTTCTGGTAATAAAGCATATTTTTTTACTGATAAGAATAAGGCGGGTCACTCCCAAAGCATATGCATTATCAAAGACTGATAAGGTAATATTATTAGTGTTATCAAAAGAAAATTTGTATATTTTTCATAATTCAGTTTCATTTAAAAACCTTTAAAATTAGGTCATTAAAATCGACTTTTTTATTTGTGCTTACATTAAATATAAATTAGTTATTTTTATTCCATCTGGGTGTTCCAAATTAAAGTGTGATTTTTTAAGCGATTGCACTTAAAAACTTAATTTTTAATCCATTTAATCCATTGGTAAAAAAAAGGGCTTAAAAATAAAGTAGGTCACAAAATTAAGAGCTTAGTGTCAACTACAGGTATTTATTTATTTCTTATGAGAAGCAATAAATAAGAAGACTGGTTATTTTAACATCTGAAAAATATCTATTAAGAGTCTAAAACTCCTGAAATCCATGTACAAGAACAAGTCGTTGATCCTTGGCTCACATAGTCAGAGCCACTTATTCGTGTACCCTTTCGTGAGTACGCAAATTTCTATGAATATTTCGAAAGTTTAAAGAATGTTTAGTGTGAGTAAAGAGAGACATGGCTTCACCTCCTTACCTTTTTGCTCCGCCGTCGTTTTATCAGCCCGGGATTAGCTAAACTGGAATTCAGCACTGAATCCAGCACTACGACCTCACTTTGTGCAGAGGTAGCATACAAATTAATTACTCTGATTCTTATTCCATAGTTGCCTAATCGCGAACCGCTTGCACTAGAAATTCGATATTTATTAGATGCTTACGTAACATTTCAGCACAAAATTTGCAATTTACAAGTTTTCTCGATTTGATTTGAAAGTTTTATAGGTTTATGCAATACCAAGAATATAAATATATTTATCTATTCAGCGATGCAGTGGTGCAGTCAGAAGTATATTGGGATCAACCTGAAACCGAATTCAAGCAAAAATCGCTTGCAAGTTGATAGTGGTTTGTTTATACAAGTTTTAAAATTAATAAAAATAAATTTTTAAACACGTAGCCATCTGCAAATATATATAAAATATAAATCTTTCATATTTTCATTTTTTTTTTTTTTATTTAAATATTTCAGCCCACTTTTAAAAGATAAACCAATAGTTATGTTTTACATTTATTTTATTTTTCAATTGTTTTCCTTTTTATACATCATTATTAAATTAAGAAGTACCAGTAAAAAATCTTTTTAGCACAAAAACACAGAGAAAAAAATTGCTGATTTTATCTTAAGAATTTTAAAAATTTGAATTATATTTTCGTTTAGATTTACGTAATAATTTCTTCACACAAAGTAGACACAAAAAAAATCATGTCAAATTTAGATGTGGTTTTTGTTTAGTTGCTAAACTTAAATACAAATGATTTAATTTAGACGTATGTGTATATTTTGTATAAAATTACATAAATATTTAGTTGACAAAAATTGTTGATTTAATTGTTTATTTTGTGTTGAGTTGAAAATTAAATTCGTGTTCTAAAGCTAAGGTAGAAGGTATACATATAATTTAGGGATTATCCGTTAAAATATATTTACAAAGATAAAGATGTGCCGACTAATAAAGCAAATTGTTGTTTTTAAAATTGATTTGCTTTATTGGGAGAGCTTGAAAAATTGAGAAAAAACAAAATGAGCGTGAGGCTTAGAAGTAGAAGAAATCAAAGACAAAGAAGATCTAGCTAATTTTCAAAGTTATATCAAAGTTATTTCTTCAATAGGAATGCGGGCTGAAGATACAGACACGATTACAGAAATAAGCATTTAGCATATAGAACTGTTTATATAGGTATATATAGGTGAGCATATCATTTAGTTAGCCTAAGCATAATCAAGAGAGAATAGGGGTGTTATAGAGAGGGATCGGAGTTAAATAGTGTTCGTAGTGAAAGGGTATTAATCAACAGAAAGCTAATTTTAAATTTCTTTACACAATGGTTTTCCCATTTTCACTTCATTCATAACTAGTTGCTAGTTCAGTTTTCGTTTAATTACTTCTTGTATATATTGTTTTTAGTTTCGTTTAGGTATATCAAAAAAATATTGCAGATTGTCTTAGAGTTCCAGCCGCTTTATACAAAGTAAATTAAGAGAAGTTAAACTTTTTGTAAGAGTTTGGTTTTCTTGGCTCATTTCTATCCGATTGGTTTTGTTTTTTTTCTAAGTGTACGTTTGTTGGCCTTCGACTTGGTATTTTATTAGTAATTTTAAAATTGTTTTATGTTCAAAAATTTGTGTATTTTGTTTGTAGAAACCATGAGTTTTGTTTGTTAGAGTTTTTATTTTATTTCTTGCATATTTCCTTTCCTTTGCTCCTTTTGCTATGGCAAACTTATTTTCAAGATTTGTGGAATGTGGTTTGTAGTCGATCTAGGGAAATTGAGTTAACATTTATGGGTTTTTGGGTGAGGGCTTGAGCCAAAAGCAAGTTTTTGATTGTTTCACTGGGGATTTTGTTTTTTTTTTTTTTTTTTTTTTGTTTTGCTCCTAAACAAATTTCTCTGGTTTGCTCTCTAGTTATTTTACACACATTTACAATATACATTACACACACAAATATTATCGGTTAGAGCTAAAGATTATGTTGCTGATCTAGTGATAATTTTGGTTCTGCTAAAGTTGCTTCGCTTTCGGTTTTGGCCCCTAGGATTAACATGTAACGTTCGATTACAAACGAAATGGCTTAGACACAGAATTTACAAAAAAGTGTTTCTCGCAGATATCTGACTTTTAATTTCTCTCTTTTTTTATTTTAGCATTAGGACAATCCCCTAGGCGTCTTAGAGGAGCAGCTCCTCATCCGTGTGCGGCTCGTTGCCGGTTTCCGCGAAGAGGCAGCACTCATCGGAGCCGGATGAGGCCGCCTCCTGCTCCTCGCAGTCGAGATCGAGATGGTGGGCCTGCTGCGGCGATTGCGGTGCCTGCGGGTGGTGGTTCAGTGGGTGGTGCGCCGGCTGCTGTGGGTGGCTGAGGTCGTGCAGCCAGTCCAGCGTCTTGTCGATGGCACGCAGCCGCTTCTCCAGCGAGGTGGTGGCCAGTATATCAACCTGTTGAAGTGCACTTTGTTAGTAAGATAGTCGGAAAAACTTTAATTGAATCATTCCAAACCCACCTTTAGCTGCTGGGAAAGGGGCAGCAGAGCTATGACCCACCACGCCCACGCCGGTCCATCGCTGATCAGCTCCCAATTCTGCTCCAGTGGCGGCATCTGGCCATAGCTCTGCAGGATCTCGTGCTTCTGCTCCGTACTGAGGCTCTCGAACCAGCCGCTGGCCTTGGCCAAGACCATGCCCTGCATGCCGGCCAGTATCTTCACCTGCTCCTCGGCAATCGGCTCGTCGCAAATGTACTCCACCTTGGCCGTCTCATAGCCGTCCTTCTCGTTGCGCGCCAGTATCTTGAAGCGCTTGCAGCCAATCGTACTGAGGATGGAGCAGCCGTCGCCCAGCTGGACGCAGTCGCGGATGTCCAGGATGGTGCCCACATCGTAGTACCGTGACTTCCCACCATTCGGCTGCACAATGCCGAAGGTCTTGTCCCCCGACTCGACGGCCCGCCGCACCATCAGGCGGTAGCGGGGTTCGCACACGAACAGGGGACAGGGGACAGCGGGGAAGGCGGCCGTGCAGATGAATACGGGCACGGAGGGCTCCTGGTCGATCTCCTGCCGGAATCGCGCCTCATAGTGGTCTGGAATGAATCGTTTCATTGCGGCTTCTAGGAACTTCGTCACTGGCCGCTTGGCCAGCGCGAAAGGAACTGGCGAGGATGAGCCCGGATGCAGGTGGTTCTGATTTTGATTCGGATTCTGATTCGGATTCGGATTCTGACTGGCACTGGAACTGGCACTGGCACTGGCACTGGCATTGACATTGAACTCCACAAGTGGTGACATGCACAATGGACACGGGGAGTTGTAATCCATGCAACGATCCAAGCATACCAGGCAGTACGTGTGTCCGCACGGGGTCACCACCGGTTTCCACAGCGTCCGGCTGCAAACAACGCAGTCGAAGTCGCTGGCGTCGATCAGCTGCCCGGCCACCGAGCTCACCGCCAGCGATGATGCCGATTCGTCCAACTCTGGAAGGAAAAATTTGCATATTAATCACCTTTTCATAGTTGTATCACTTTTTGGGAAAAAAGAGTAGAGGTTATTTCCCCTGAAGTCTAATCGTAGATATAAATAAAGATAACGATTAAAAAGTTTGAAAGTCACTTTGCTTAAAAAACTTTCCTTTATTTAATTGAATTTACTATTTCCAATTTTAAGTAGCTTTAAATGTTTATTTAAATTTATCTAAATTTTCAATATACTTCTAAATCGAGATTTTTAAATTCTTTCTTTCATTTCTTTTTTTTTCCATAATCCTTTCAAAGTTATAATACAAATTTGAACTGAATATTTAGGCTGATCTTTATCCCTAAACTAAAACTATTTCGAATGATGTTTGTAATATTAACGTAATATTGTAATATTGCTTTGACTGATCAAATAAAGCAAAGCGTAATAGGAAAATTGTTTATAAAATATTTTCGTATTTAATTACATTTCATTATTGATGTGTTACGGTGTGTTTCTTTTGCTCTCCAAATAAACTTTATTTCAAAAAGCTTTTAAAATATATCTTTCAACAATATGTATTGCTCTTTAATATAACATACGTTGGTATTTCATTTTAAATTCTCAGTTATCACTGAATAAACTATTTTACCAAACTGACATTGGCTCTTAAATCAAAAAGTCTACATAAGCTCATATTCATTTGTCCCAATTTGATAGGTACATATATTAAAGGACTTTCCAGAGACTTTTAAAATCGAAATTTGATAACCCCTTTTTATTCAAGTTACTCACTTCTCAGTCGCTGCAGTTCCTGCTGCGTGCGCTCCAAGACACCGGCGAATAGTCGACTGCACCGCTGACTTTCGCCAGCTGCCTGATCCTGGTCCACGTCCTCCTCCTCGACGATCCTGCCGCCCAGTGGTTCCATGGCCGCCGACCATTTCCGCTTGCAGTGCTTCCGGTTCGCATGGCGACGTGGCTGCAGATCGAACTGCTTCTGCTCGAAGACGTGCCGCTGGTGGCGATGGTGGTCCATGAAGTCCAGGGCACTGGGGAACAGGAAGTCACCGTCCAGATGCAGGGATCCCGGCTCCCCGCCGTCCACCTCCACTTCCACCTCCTCCTCCATGTCGTCCCCGGCCATTATGTAGTCGTCGTAGTGGCCGAACTCGTCCTCCACATCGTCCAGGTGGACGTGGTGGTGGTGATGGTGGATGTGGTGGTGCTGTTGTTTCCTGCGCCTCCTCACCTGCTCCCAAAGTAGAGGATAGGGTGCTCGGGAGGTGGCGAAGCTGCGGTGCTGTGGCTGGAAAACAGGTGGTGCTGCGGTACTGATCGAAGATCGATTCTTGGGCATTTGGGCCAGGAGACGTTGCAGAATCTGTGAATTGAAATGCAAGATAAAAGTGAGTAAATATTGCCAGTTTTAAAAGTAATTAGGATTGAGAGAGTTTGCTTGAAAAAAAAATTGATAAGCTCAGTAGTTAAATCCTAGTTTATAAACAATTAAATGTTTGTTTAATGTTTACTGGTTTATAGTATTGATAATATAATATTTACAACATTTTTAGCTTTATACAGCGATCTTTTATGCGTTGTATATAGAAAATAAGATTTAAAAGTAATGACAGTTATATTTTAAATCAAAGAAATACTTTATCATAAATGTTTCATACTAAGGGCAGTGGTCCCCAAACTTTTCTAGATTCAAAGTTTTAATGACTGCTTCTTTAATGTATATTGAATGTAAGGCCTTTGATATGTTGTCTTAAAAAGCGGACTAGAAAACGAAAATCGGAAATCCGAATTATTAAGTAATTACTCCGAACATGAAGTAAGAACGAGAAAACGGCACTAAGGAATTTAAATTGCATACACTTTTATCAATTTTATTTTGACTATGAAAATTGTAAAGGCAATTATAAAGTCAATAATTTAAGATGTTTTTATTTTTTGTTTTTTCAAGTGAATGGTTTTTTAATGGTGTCTAGACTTTTACAAAAACAATGTAGATTGAGTTTAATTTAGTATATTCAATGTGAAATCTGAAACATAAAATTGTTATTACAACCATATGTCTGCATCATTTCTGTATAAATCATGAAGACCCATTGCACTTTAAACTCATATTTTTGCCTACCTTGGCGAGATCATGTTGAAATATTTCCGAGTTGCTGAGATTTGTATTCTTATCAAGGCAAATGGCCAAAAAGCCGTTGTACAAAGCCTCCTCCAATCGACCCAGTCCGCTCAAGGCCAAAGCTCTCAAATAGTGGGCCTGAAAAAGATAATATTATTTATTATGTTGGCTTAATGGTTGATTGAATTTCAAAACTCACTTTGGGTGAAGTGCAGCGCGTTCTCAGGGCATTCTCGATATCCGCCAGAGAACTTTGGAAATGGCTCAATTTTAGGAGAACTTCAGCACGCAGACAGAGACTCTTGAAATTTGCTGGCGCTAGAAAATATTAAAGTAATATAATTTAGTACATTTAACTGCAACAAATTTTGGGCTATAAATCAGGTAAAACCCTCCATGAATGTCATATTTAAACTGAAATAAAACTTGGCAGTATGGAAACTTTTCGGCGTGCGGCCAAAACATTTACGTGTGCCAATATTTTAGATATATGCATGCAACGATATGGACGTGTAAACAGAATCTATATATTGTTGGATTGGGCAAGTATTCAACACGCGCGAATATTTCTCAATTAGTCTTTTCCCTTTTAGCGCGAAAAATTGTAGTTTTTCGTCATAAAAGAAAACATTGAATATTTTATTTGACAGCTGCTAATAAAGGCGCCACTTAATATTTATATTTATTTGGGCAATTTTTAAAGGTAACAATTTTAAAATAAATGATTCTATAGAATTGATATAAAGGGTAGAGAAAACCGTAAGACAATATTGCAACAATATACTTTGAGTGTGTATTGGATCAATAAAACATTCTTCAATTCAAATAAAGATTACAAAAGATAAAAGAAATGTGCTTGTTTAAAATCTGAATAAGTAAGCCTCTTTTGGAATTAGTGATCAGTTGCTGAAGTTGGTAGAACATACACAATTTTATTATTGTTGTTAAACAAAATGTAAGCTATTTAGTTGAAATTATATTCACTTATTTGCATAAAAAGATTGATTAGTTATCATTTTTTGAAGTAAAGGCCCATTGACAAAGTTTTTTTTGCCACTTTAAAAACTAAATTATTTATAATAAATAATTTCATAAAAACGCGAACTTCGACCCTCAGTAAATGCAATGAGAAAGTGAAATCAAGGTAGGCAGCAACGACAGTGCGCGAAGCACCTAGAATAGAAAGTCATTGCAGTGCCTAGGTCATGCATTCCCTACCCCTCCCCATCTCCCCCCTTTCCAACCCCTTTTATCGCACCTTGCTACGTCACGTAGGCCACTTGTAGACAATGTTGCCAAGCCGCCAGCAACATGCAATATTGCAACATCCTAAGAGAAGTTAAGAGAATCTTTGGAACATTAACAGCAGAGATTGCTGTTGAATTTCCATCTCTTTCTGTTAAATATTGCCTCTTACTATTTTTCTCTTTCGCTGTTAAATTCAAAGAGATGTGAACTGTTAAAAAGACGCGCGCAGCTGCTGTTAGGACAGAAACGCGAGTATGTTATGTTATGTAGCCTAACATTACGCAACATTAAAAATAGCAACAACAAATTGACAGCAGCGGCAACAGCGACTGCAAAAACATTAGCCATTTTAAATTAATATGTAAGACCTTATCATATTTATTGTTTTATTTAAAATTGCTTTACAAATTTGTTCAAAAAATAAAAAACATAGGGACCCCTCAACACGCCATTTTTGAATAGAGATATTAATTTACATTTTTTATAATGCTTAAATTAGTATTTTTATTGATTAAATGTTCTACCCTTTATATATTAATTTTGATATTTCAATATTTGGAATATTTATTTCCTAGCTTGTATATTTTTGTCAATAGTTGTATTCAATCTTAATTAGACAATTTTTTATAATTTAATTTCTATGTTTGAATCCACTTATTTTATAAGTAAAATATTTATAATTTATATTTGTGACTCATCCCAAAATAAAATATTTTCTTAAGTAAATTATTATTATTATCATTTTTTAGAATGATGACTTTGTACTACGCAGTTGACTTTTTAAATTATTTTTCTGTTATTAATTTGCATAATTCCCGCTATTAATAAAACATCCGATTACCACCGAATCACAATGTTGTTGATTATGTAAAATGCTTGTCAATATTTCTTGTTCACTTCGTTATGCCCATTTTATAGGTTTTGCTTTGGGTGTCAAATGAATTTTAAAAATAAAATACCAGTGATAGGGGTTTGTTTGCCACAGATAACGCTTACGAGATTGGATTTGTGACTAAGCGTTATGTGAATAAAGGTGCCAAAACATAACGGCACTTTACTGCGAACTGGAAGATAACGGGAGAATGTTTTTTAGGTGTTTATTCTTTAAACGTTTTTTAAACTGTCTTTTTGAGATAAGGCAGGTTTATTTTTTATACTTTGACAGATTGGCGATATCTTAAAGTGAATAACAAAGTGGGTGAAGGATATTTGGATAATATGTAAAAATAACTTTTCTTAGAAATAAAATGGGAAATAGCTTACAATTATAGTTTAGTTGCACAGTTATATTTTATAAATTGGTGTTTAATAATTTGTAAACTAAATATATTATAAGAAAGCCCCTTTGAGTTTTAAGTTTCAATTAAACCATCTTGACAGTGAAATTAGCTATCTTATATACTCCTGTCGTGATATTTCCATCTGTTTTCCATACGTTTTTTTTTTTACTTTACAAGTGCTTCCCCTGTTTGTTATGCAATAATATCGTTCGATCTCCATGCCTCTACCTCCGCCACAACACTTCCTCCCAAGTCCAGAGCCATAACTATATGTATTATGCATACTAATTATATTTATTTCTACATTATATCACCCTGAAGGCGGCCACGTTCTCGGTGACCAGCTACTTCCCGTTCGATCTGCGACTATATGTGTGCGTATCCATCAGATACTTCTACTTACAACCGCAACGAGTGGGCAACACAAAAAAAAAAAACACGAATTCAATTAAAATGCAAAGCCAAACGCTGACGGGCTGCTGCCGTTGTTGTGGTGGCCGTTTGTTTTTGCTTTTGCCACTGCTACCAATTTGCACTTATTAGAGAATTTTACGCTCTACGAACGCCCCCTTTTTGGGGCCCGCCCCCCAAAGATATAGCAACATCTTCCACGCGGGGCCAAGTTTCCGTTACGCTGCAGACAATTTAAGCCCAACTGTTGATAAATTGCATTTGGCTTCAGATATGACTATGCTCATATGTGTGCAATTTATATATTTTTTTCGCATACACTTGAAAAAAATTCATTAGCACTAACAATATAGAAAGAGTAATTTTAAGTGCATTAAATAAGTATATATTCTTTATGATAAAAAAGGATTTTTGATATTAATTTTTGTAATTTAATATCGAAAAATAAGAAAGAGAAATTCTAAATTTATCTATTTTAACAACATTTAATAAGTAATTTATCTGCAATCTTAAAATATCTGCATGCTTAAAATCAAAACTCTTTTTATTACTATCTTATTTTGACTCTTAATAAGAAATAATTTTTTTTCTCCCTGTATCTATATCATTTTTGTGCCATCGTGTTTCTTTTTGTTGTCGTGTGTTTGCACTCAAAATCAGATTTCGTCACGTACATTAAAAATCGTTTGCAAAAATTCCCACCACAACAGAAAAAAATCGCAATGAATATTGGGGATAGAAGCGAATTTTCCTTGGCGGTTGACAGACGGCATTGGCATGGATTGCATAACGAAATCAGAAATCTTAGAATTTTGATTTCCGCATAAAGACAACATGAGAGATATAGAACAAAGGCATTTCTAGCGCAAGCTGTTGAATCATTTGATTTATTTATTTTTAAATGCCAGCCAACAAAGTATCGAGGCAAGAATGCATGCCCCTCTCTGGTTCTTTAATTCAATTGTGTTTAAAAGTCGTTAAGCCATTTGCTAAAAATAAATTCGTTGCGTATACGCCGCATGGTCCGAGCTTTGATTGTTCGGCCACGAGCACCACACACAATCACTGGATTATTATGCAAAAGGAAAATAGAGAGATGGAGGGGGTAGGAGGTGGCGAAAAACTGACCTAAATACTAAATGAATGCCCATAAAACTGCGCCAAGTGAAACGGGAAACGAGCGGCCATAAACGAGCGGCCAAAAGATGGCAAACTTTATGCGACACCCCCCAGTTCTCATCGCCGAATCCGCACTCGAAACCCGTAGGGAAATTGACCGTTTTTGATGTCTATGATGGGGGATAACTGGAGCGAAGCAAATAAATGCAAAGAGACCCGGACCCCCTTGGCTAACACTCTATTCGCTTGCATAAAATATGGCCATTATGCAGATGAAGCTAATTGTGCGGAGTTAAGTTTATGACCCTCGTAAAGTTCCTCCGCTCGATGTAATAGCGAAATAAATATAAGAATTCAGGGAAATGTCAGCAGTTAAATGGGGATGAATGCTGTGCATAATTCCACGAAAAAATAAAAGGAAATATCCTTAGTTAAATACAAATATTTCCTTCCTTTGAGGTACAAATTCAGCAAAGAAAGGAAGTATTTTCCCTGTAGGGTTATTACTTTCCATTTAGTTTTCGTAACAAGCCATTTCTGTTGACCTGATTCAACGGCCAGGAATCCCTGTTAATTAAATACCTAATCTGATTTCTGTAAGTCACCTAGACCAATTAATTTTCTAAGAAATTCGCTTTTGATTTCCTTGTTAAACTCAAATTTGTCGCAAATTTCGCATTTCTAGACAGATTTATTGCAATAAAAATCGTCTACCATTTCCCTGCTTAATTTGCCTTTATAATTGTCTTCATGAATGAATGCTTACTTGCCCACTTTTGATGCCGTTGACGGAAATGTAAAATGCTTGAAAATAATATAAAATAATAATTATTCACTTTCAGGAAGTGCAGGCAGTCGCTTTGTTTTCACTATTTAGAATTTTGCCTTTGGCCATTCGCCGTTAAGTCTACGACATTCTCGCTAAAGAATTCTATAAAATTCATTTTTATTTTTATGATACACTTTTACGAGGCCATATGACAGACAATTGTTGTGTAAATTATTCGAATATATTGTTGTGCAATATGTATATTTGCCTCCAGTTTTGTTATTTTGTTGAAAACCATAAGTTGAGTTTTGCACTCAATTACTTTTCGGTTTGTGGGTGGGGCCCACAAGGCGTATGCGTATTACAAAATTGTATTTATTAATTTTGAAGGAGCTAAAATTAAAACACATATGTTCCATTATTTAAGCAACAAAATTGCAAAACTAGTTTTCAATTGACCCGTATACTATATACTACATTTGATTAATGCA